CAACAGTGTATCCTTGTCATTTTCTTTACAGAATGAAAAGGAGAGACTTATGTTAAATTTAGTTTTAAGTTTAGAGAATCATGTCAGAATTGACACCAATATTACCTTTTCAAAACAAGCTCAAGCTTATGAAAAAAAATGGATGCGTGTAACTTATGTACGCGCGTGAGAAGTTATACTTCTTTAGCATCATTAAAATATTTTTTAATTGCATGCAAATAATTAATAATTACAATAAAATAATAAGAGGACTGGAAAAGGATAGTTAACACAGTCAATTAAGTTCAGTTTTAATTTGAAAAATTAAATAAATATTCAAAATATTCAATTAAAATCACTACTGAATTTAAGTTATTAGTCCATATGTAATTAGCACTTGTAAGTAACTAAAACACGTTGTGTTATTGACCTTCACAAGTGCTTGTAACAGCCTAGACTGAATATCATTTCACTTCATTTCACTTCATTTCACTTCATTTCACTTCATTTCACTTCATTTCACTTCATTTCACTTCATTTCACTTCATTTCACTTCATTTCACTTCATTTCACTTCATTTCACTTCATTTCACTTCATTTCACTTCATTTCACTTCATTTCACTTCATTTCACTTCATTTCACTTCATTTCACTTCATTTCACTTCATTTCACTTCATTTCACTTCATTTCACTTCATTTCACTTCATTTCACTTCATTTCACTTCATTTCACTTCATTTCACTTCATTTCACTTCATTTCACTTCATTTCACTTCATTTCACTTCATTTCACTTCATTTCACTTCATTTCACTTCATTTCACTTCATTTCACTTCATTTCACTTCATTTCACTTCATTTCACTTCATTTCACTTCATTTCACTTCATTTCACTTCATTTCATTTCATTTCATTTCAATGTCCCGTTCAAATCTGCCCTGTTTGCTTTGTTCAAATCTGCCCCACGGTCACTTGGAAAATAAAATATTACAAATAACGCGCCCGCGGCTAACTTCATTATGTTAAAATTTTGTGTTACAGTGATGAAAATTTCACTCTCATAATTTTTTCATAACGCGGCTAAAGAAGTATAACTTCAAAAATAAAATTGTAATAGATTAGAAAAAATATACATAGGTACGCTGTTTTAAATAATTACGAACATTTCCAATAATTTATGGTGGTAATTAACTATATGATTAAGTTAATTATTTTCTAAGTTAAGTACCTTTACCTACCTACTTAGAGTACAAGTTGTATCTATGATTCATTTCATTAATTACGGCAAGAATTCGCAAATGTGACATTCGGCAAAAGAAAGAGCTATAGGGGAAACACTGCTTTATCAAAACAAATAGATAATTTAAAAGTTCAAAAGTAAGAATAAAAGTAGATGGTATAGAAGTGTTTTAAGAGAGGTGGGGCAAATTAAAGGCATGGACACTATTTCGTTCTTATGTAGTTTACATATGTGGCAAAGAAATAGTGTTAAGAAAATGCTAGATAATAGAAGAAATGATAGACCGAGTACTAACTACTATACATACTATAGATACATATCAAGCGCGTTCGATTTATTCGTTACTATAAGCACGGTACCTATATTTAAGGAGGTACCTATTCAAACAGTCATCAAAACTTTTTCGATTTCCAATTTAAAATTACACGAGGCATCATCGAGATCTGTTTTTCCGTCGGAGAGCGGTGTTTAGAAGCAGCCGGCGCGCGCCGGAAGCAGTTCGGTTAGGAGACTCGGTGTGTCGCGCACGGTGAAGTTGGTTTGGTAACTCGAGTGGCGCAACCTGCGTCCTGCAGACCTTCAACGCCACGACATCACGCCTACTCATACAGGCTGTTGTTTTTTTTTATATTTTTTTCTTATAATGTGGTAGGCAAATTACTCCACTTGTTCTCTATGAGGTCGGTCTTTAGATGGGTGACCAAACATTTACTATCTCGAGCTCATGCAGTCATGGCCCTATCTCATTATTCACTGCAGGAGCACACGCCTTCCCTATGGATAGAAAATCTCCCTATTCCATCCATAGGGATGGCCTGTGCTCTAGAACGCCGCACAACTCACAACGCGTAAGCGTGTGGGACTGCTTTACTCTCGATAGGCCGCTATGTTACGATTTTACAATATAAAATCGCACTTATCTCCCAAGTTAGACACTAAATCAATAATATAGGAGTGTTTTTAAAACTAGGCATATTAAATTATAAAGTCAGCGTATATTTTCATTTATTTTTTTAGTATTTATAACAAAAAAATGTAGTTAAGAAATTATTAGTACTGCTGTCCGTTGGACGGTGCACTTGTCTGTACGTTTTAAAAAAATATACGCAATTAATTGTAATAAATCCTTTTGAATTAATTTCCATTTATACTGAGGATGAACCTTAGTTCTTATCATGATTGAACTGATACCCGTTTTAAAGCTATTAATGAAATTCAATGGAATTTTTTTACTGGGTTTCTGTTCGTGAATGTAGGGCGTGCACTTTTGGATTTTTTGACTAACTTCGAAGTGAAGAAAGAATTCTGACTTGGGGGTTCTAGGCGAGAAATAGAAAGATCGCTCCCTTTGTATGTAAGTTTTTTTATATAAATTTAATACTATACTATAATCATTGACACCAAGTATCCCTTGTAAAGATCTCAAAGTAACGGAAGAGAGATGAGACAGCGTACAGCAGTGCTATTCTCTAAGAACACACTCACTTTCCCCGCAGATTTCGCGGTGTGATTTAAAATTAGTGTACGAATTCCATTAAATCACACCGGCGAATTCCGCGGGGTATAGTGCGTAAGTTCTAACCATTCTTACAGAACAGTGAATAGCACTGCAGGGTCTCCGGTATGATGACCACGTACTATCATAACAAAACAGGTTGACATCACAAGATCCTACCTACTTACTCCAAAAATTATAAACGACTAGCGACTAGCTTCTGCCCGCGACTTCGTCCCCGTTATAACTTTGGTTTCGGGCAACTATCTTCTTTTATCCATAAGAAGAACATTATCAAAGTTATGCAAAAACTTTGTTACGAATTACTTTCTTGTCCATCTGTCTTTCTGTCTGTCTGTCAAGATCCTTTATCTTGGGAACTCGTGGAGGTATCGAGTTGATATTAAACCATATACCTATTCAGGTTTACGGTCACTTGAAACTGTGAAAATATCAAACTTCTTAGTTAACGGGAAAAAAGGTGTGCCCGTTTAAGTTACCTATCAATGCTAAACCCTCGGTGGAGAGTCGGACTCGGAATTTACCAGTTTTTTTCAAAATAAACAAAATTCGTAGATTCTCGTGTTTACTTTGTCAGAGACCCTTCTCCGTAAGGTTACAATCTTACAATACTTAACAAAATTAGGCCTTTTTGTGTGTTGTGTTCCATAAATACTCGTACATATTTCAGAGTTCACGAGACGATTTAACCATCATCCTTTAGTCGCGGACGGAACCAAAGTTTTGTTATAAGGTAGCATTCGGCGGCGATCGCCGGATCAATCGCCGTCGATGTTCAGGTGTGGCCACGTCCCCTCAGGTGAGCTAATAATGCTGATATCTAACATATTGAAGAATTAAACTGCTTTTGTAAAAGTTAATTTTCCATTTAAGAACAAATCATTCGAAAAAGGGAACCTGGAACTTAAAATTATTCTTTAATTTTTCTTATAATTTAATTCTTTTTTTGGTAATAGATATAATTTTATTGATTATTTATTTTTATTAAAGATGTGTGTAGGTACTTAAGTTAATATTGTTGAGCATTTCTTATATACACTTCGGACACATCTATCGGCCCACTTAGTGTTATAAGTTTTAACCGTCTGTAGCAAAAATATAATTAAGTTATATTGAGCAATCCTAACCCTAACTAATATTATAAATGCGAAAGCGAGTTTGTTTGTTAAGCTTTCACGCAACAACTATTGAATGGATTTGAATGAAATTTGGTACGCACATAGTTTACAACCTGGATGAGACATAGGACACTTTTTATGCCGGAAAAAGTTCGGTTCCTGTTGAATTCTCAAAAAACTAAAGTACTGTTTTAAAAAATATATTATTACTAGCACTCGCAGGCGGCTGTTGGTAATAATATATTTTTTAAACATACGAAAAAGATAGTTCATTTGTCAATTTCAAAACTGCCTTAAAGTTTTTGCTCAATGTAACACTTATAGACGGACAAACCATATAGGGAAAACTTGCAAAACATATAGGTAAAAATGCTAGGTGAGCCGATATACATTGTGTCCGGTAGTATATATCTACTTTATAACCTAACTGTAGACTGCTTAATTAACATAGTTATTGTATTTTTATAAGTAGTATTATTTCCGTTAGTATATACATCTAGAAGTAAAAATATAATAAATGGTGATAACATTTCATGATAATCATGAATCAGTGACTAAATAACTCATTAAGGGAAATCATAACCAAAATAATTACCTACATACTTAGGTACATAGTACTTTTATACAATACTAGCAAACCCAGCGAACTCCGTTTCGCCACCAGATAGCTTCGTTTTATGTAACATTTCGTTTTGTGATAAAAAGAAAACGATTTTTTTTTTAAATTTTTCCTGAATTTTCTTTGCTATAAACCTCACGGAGCCCGAGACCTTTCCAACGAATGCAAAACCGTGGAAATCGGTTCGTGCGTTCTGGAGTTATAGCGTCAGGAAGGAAAACCCGACTTATTTTTATATAGTAGATTAATGTAAGTACTTATATCGATTCTGTTCATTCTCAAGTTATTAGTTGGGTAATTTGGAAAAGAGCAAAAACGCATGAATCAAACAAAATCATCGCAATGACTGGAACTCACATTTCTAACATACTTTATTATGCAAATTGACTAATAGGCATATTAATAATTTCTTTAATGACCCTTTTAGGCGCCACAGATCTCATTACTGTCACATTCCATCGTTTCGCTAATGAGACAAGAGTTCACCTTGACCGTGCTGAATGCAGATTGAGAGACAGTAATCGGGAAAATGGCTTGCAGACAACACATCGCGGTAGTTCTGGCTATTTGCCTGTTGGCTCAAGCGTTCGCCTTGCCCGCGAACCCCAAACCAGCTCGATGGAGAAGAGACGATTTTGATAACGAGCTAAGCGATCCCTTTGATAAGGTAAGTTTTTAGTACCTATTCTAGTGATAAAATCAGTGCTCTGATAGAAAATAACTTTAAGGTGCATAGTTAAAAACATACATATATGATAAAATGGTAGGAAAGTCAAATCTGTACATTGAATATTTTTATACAAGAATAATTGGGGTGGGATCTACTATCGATAACGAAGCTAAAAATATAGTTTTTAAATTTTTGTCTGCTTGTCTGTTGGTACGTCCGGGAAAAACTCAAAAATTACTGCATGGATTTACTTCAAATTTGACACGAATATTATTAAGAAGTCGGGTCAACATATAAGCTACATAATATCACACTATCACCTACGGGGAACGAGCAGTAAACCTTTATTTCTAACTAACTCCACGCGTACGTAGATAAATAAGTTCGTGTTTTTCGACTTTAAATTATTCAGAAGCCTTTAATTGTATAAAGTATGGTGTACCGACATGATATGTTACATTAGTGCTTGATGTTATGTTACCTATTAAGTGGAAATAAAATATCACATATTATACTGTCACACGGCATGCACTACAGAATACATATATAAAATTTAACTTATTTATTTAGATATACGCTTCAAATAATTTAAAAATTTATTGAATAGAGTTAAATAATGAAGTAAAGATTTTAGTATATTTTTTGGAGAGGATTTGTTTTTTTTATTTTATTTAGAAAAAATAATACTTCGACTATACTCAAAAAAAAATATGTAATTTTATATCAAATCGCAATAAAATCACTTGATAAACAATAGGTACACTGCGCGTATTAAGTTACTTATATCTGCAGAAAAAATCGCTATGAATTACTAATTTATTCTGACTTCAAATAATTGATGTGATTGACTTTGATTTGTTTGATCAGTTTTAATGTTTAATTTACTTGGGTATTTTCTCAGCTATTTACTAACTCTAGGTACGTAAGCTAAGAATGTTACTAAACTGGTTTACAAAGTTGAGTAACTACGAGGAATGCTAAGTTAAGTTTACCTTAAAATTAAAGTGCGGCTAGCCTAGATTCGCCATATATAACTAAGGTATTCAAAACTTAAGAAAATCAATTGTGATTTTTTTTGTAATATGAATAGATACTTACGTAGGTACGGGTCTACCTTGTAACTCAGAACTTTTAATGCCATAATATTATAATGCATATCAGCGGATGGCATAAACTTAATTTCGCAGAAAATCGTTTGGCACTCACTCATTTAGCAGACATTGAAACGCATAACTTTGTTGGCCAGAATCATCTCTAAGCATAAATTTAATATCCACTATTATGTCTATAATTAAAAAGTAAAACCATCATATCGCAGAAACTTAACAATCAGAATCGTCTTTTAGCATTAAAAAAAATAACTTTTCCTTGTTTATTTATCTATTATCAATGGTGACTGGCGGTTCGTCGGCCGCTGCCGCGGCCCGCTCGCTTCGATCGCTCGGCTCGCGCTAATAGTAGGTCATAATTACCCTTACCTAACCCACTAACCACAAATACCGATTATGCCTAGCGAAATTATGCAGCATAAAAAGGGAACCCGGTAGATACACCTATTAATTACGAAAAATGAGTAGGCTCTTCTATTTAGCAGTTAAATACTTAAAATAAAAATACAACCAGAATTTCAAAGTTTTGTTACATTAACTATGTACTTATATACTACCAAAATGTTGTATTATGTGGAGCTCGATAGGATAATACAGTGTCTAGTGCATTTATTTTTCAACTTTCGTAAATGCCTGTCATAGGATGTGTGGGATGAGAATTAATATTACATCGAACAGCATCGAACTTAAAGAGCCATTGGTGCTGGCTACATCTGCAGTCATAAGCTCCTACCAATCTACACGTTGGTACGTTATGGGTCAACCTCTCCATTTCATCCATAGGGGAGGTCTGTGTCCCAGTAGTGACATGAGTATGCTGACGTTAAAGATATATGAACCTTTTCCTTCAGTGCCGGCAACGCATGAGTGACCACTTACCGTCATCAGGATGATTCAAAGGGTTATTGTAACGCTACCAATAATAATAAACAATGTTGCTTCTTTTTACAGAAATCTGACTCTGTATCTACATCAACATCATCGTCGATCACAGTCGACCCGTTCGCTGATGATGACGACGACGACGATTTCAGCGAGTCAATGCAGTCATCACCTACCACCGGGGGTAGCAACCTGTTCAGCCTGTTGCGTCTCGCCGGCGCCCTGTTCCCGGGCTCTTCCACTAGTAATGTAAGTTATTTTAAAGAATTTTTGTTAGTTTGATTAGCTAGATTAAAACAGTCAGTTTAAGCTCTTCCACTAGTAATAGTTATTTACATGGGTACTTTTTGTTAGTTCTGTTTAGCTAAATTAGAATATTTAGTTCGTTTTTTATAGTTCGTTCCTATGGTAGGATTTAAAATTGAATAATGCAAGATAAAATCTCAAAAGTTAGCGCTTAGCTACATTATAATAAAACAGTTCATATTTAAATAATAACAAAGGAAGGTAAGCCTTACGAATATCAAAATTCCATCTAGACTTTGAAATCGAAAATTTTATTGTAAATAATTTACGCACTTCTTGTTATTTCTAGTTAGCTTAATAAAAAGTTCGTATATTTATAACAATGGTGGGTAAGCCCTGGGAAAAATTTATTCCTTATCGAGAATTTTGAAGTCGCAAAATAATACGTAAACCCAAAAGATTTTACATACGTTTTGTATATTATTGTGTGTTATTTCTATTTAGCGAAATAGTAGGCTTGTGGTATGGGATACTAGAGTAACGGATAGAATACATATACTGAAACATATATAAGTATATTTGTATAGAAATACATTTTAAACATCCATGACTGGAGTACAAATGCTCGTATTCATCACACAGACATCTTTGATTTTATTTAGTCAATGAATCAGACTAATTTGTTGGCTGTAGTACGGCATTGTTTTAATGCCGTTTAGGGGGCTAAAATAGCTACCTAATTTGTTTTAAAGACCTAAACTTTGTTTTTTTTATTAAGTGGTCTATTACTCTTGCTAAACTGACGAATCAGATGTTTCATGATTTTCTAATTTGTACATTTTGTTTATTAATATATTGTCATTATTATCATTTTATGATTTGAAAAATGAAACAATTGTTATTTATTATGCGTTTAGGTAATGAAACGCGTAAGCCATAAAATCGCGGCTTACGCGTTAGAATAATCTCGCAGTTCGTTTTCTTCAGCTTTCTTCCGTACCGCGTTTCTTTTTCACGATTTTGTGTTTAACGAATCTGGAGTGATAATTTAGCACACAAGAGCACATCAAGAGTTTTACTGCACTATTTAAGTATCACGTGTTGAAGCACTTCAAAGCACTAAGGTAAGTTTTTATTTTACTTGCACAGGCACTTACAATCTAATTAAAAAAGTACAAATATTGAGGTGCTTGAACGAGCTCTGAGTAACACGTTAAATAAATTCTCCTGCACTAGATGTACCTGTTAAATAAAAAAAGGATTAAATTTTACAAGTGCAATGACTACAAAATATTATCTTCCATGAAGATAATAAAATGTAACACATCTCAGAACTTGTTCCAGCTGCTCAGAAACTACATAATTTGGTACACGAAAAAATATTCAGTTGACATCATCTTGTATAATTTTTAGAACTTCTTGTCGAACATGTTGAGAGAGATACTAAACTACAATCAGGGATACTTCTTACTGCGACGTCAGGATGTCGATAAAAATACAATCGAAATTGATTATGTAAAAGGCTTGAAACCTCCACCGCCGCCTTTCGAAAGGCAAGAATCCGCTCAAGATGATGGTTCTGAAAGTGATGAGGACTCAGACAGTGGTGATGATGATGACAAAGCCGGTGGAGGTGAAGAGAGCGTCGAAGAAGATAAGAACGGTGACATCGATGATGATGATAATGCATCAAACGCTTCGGACGATTATGATGAGCCACCCGAGGGTGATGGACAGGGTGGTGGAGTCCTTGGAATTTTAGCTGGATTAAGCGGAGGAGTAGGTATTTTTTCAATACTATTATATAGGAAAGGAATTAGCCCATTCTGATAAAACTTTTCGAAAAATCATTTTGATTCCTACAAAAAGCTCCATTTGAATATTATTCCAGACAAAAAGTCAAAATTAAATCATTTAATGACATGAAAATGTTGTAGAACAACGGTATATATAAACGACTTATTTTAATTACAGGAAGATGGACAGTCAGATTTGGGTGATTTATTGGCAACTATAAGTGGAATAGTTGGAAATCTCAGTGTAAGTTATGACAAGTTTTTCATATTATCGAATTCTAATGCATGACAGGTTGAAAACCATTGAATCTTTTTGATTTTAGGGTGACGGTATAGATCTTAACGCCCTCATCGCATCGGGTTTAGGACTCTTCGTTGGATTATTGGTGATTATTTATTTGACTTTGAAAAATATAATAATCTTGTACACTACAATATCTACTTAGCTAGAATATCAAACTTTCGCTGTTTATTTTTTTAGTCAGAGGGTGAAGAAAACCCTGGAACAGTCATCGGTAGTTATCTGTTGACTTCTTTGGATTCCATCACAGGAGGCGGCGCTGTAAGTACCAACAGAGATGTAAAAAAACAACTTTATTAGAACTGGAGCTATTAATCAACAAATGGTAGTTCCGTACCCAAAGGTTGATAAACGAACCCCGATTAATATGCCTCCGCTCCGTTAAAGACATATTTTCACGCCGCTATCGCATAAACTATACTAAATAAACAGTTAAAATCTAAAGGGGATCTTCCCCTCCATATATGAAACGTGATAAAAATAAAAATAAAATATATAATTTATTTATAGCTTCCTAGGAAAAACCTAGCTGCAGCATTGTAATATAATTAGGTAATGGTAAAACATATTAACAATTTTTTTGTATTTTTTTAGCAAAACAATGGTGCTTTCTTTGGAAATTTAGTTTCCAAATTAGTGAAGGGGACAAGTGCGGTATGTATAACATTTTAACATTATTTTTCTTCTGTTCTAAACTTAGTTCTCATTTGATCAAATTTTTTTGTTGTTTTTGTTGTTGTCCAAAAAAATAAAGACAAGCTGTCAGTTTTTTGCTAAATTTACTGTAGAAAGATACTTTCTGTAGAAAGACTGAATTTGGTGCGTTATAAGTTATTCTTTTCTACCAGTTCAACGTGGAAAGTGAAAAGAAAAATCACACCTGTAAGGTTATATTATATATAGCTCAAAATGTATTGCTATTATTTACAAAAGCAATACAAATATACATAACATAAGACTTTTTTCAGTAAACATGATAAGTAAGCTTGGATAGCGCGTTTCAGCGCGCTATCACACTCATAACAACTCGTGGAGAGTACGCGTAGTTACAAGAATTTATATGACGTTTCATGGTATGTACCCTGGAACGCGCTATCCGTATGCAGCTTCACAGATGTTTAAGGCCGAAGCCGCACAGTTACGGCGATAGCGACGCGACGCGACGCGTCGGCGCAGTACAAGCAGAAACATTTGCAGTGCGGCCACCGTCATGTGTACCCCAAGTACGAACTTTGACAGATTAGATAATATATAAATCGCCGAAGTTAAAGTTTCTGTGGAAATTAACTAGCAGCGCTCCTACCGGAAGTAAGAACAAATTGTCTTTTTCCATAGTAACTTTGACATGGCGATACGAATACTTTTAGCTGGTTCTTCGTACTTGGGGTAGTGTTGTATTAGTTAGTTTTTGCGAAATCGCCGTCGCGTCGCAGTCATCTAACCAGTGCGGCCTAGGCCTTAAGCTCTATAAGCTGGATTAAAGGAGGACGGGCGAAACATACTAATGGCTCAATTACACTTGGGCGTTAAGTTAGGGTTAGGTAGGGTCGTGCACCCGAATACGGGCTAACAACCAAGTGCAATAGTTGTTAACTGTTATTTTGTTGTTGTTGCTATTCTCAATTCGCTGTGGAAAACAAATCGCTCAATGAAAGCTTAGTAAAAATCTTTTATTTCTGTTTTTTTTTTTACTACGACTTTTTTCCACAGCGAATTGAGACTTGTTGCCCCCATAATAACAAATGATAGTCATGCGAAATGCTTTCTTACGACATACAGCTGATCGTGTCTTAAAAATTTTTGCCCATTCCCCAAAAAACAGATTTCTTTTTCAGGCTGAACAGCCAGAAGGTGATTCCGATGAGAATGGCGGTAACGGAGGGCCAATGTCTGACTCCACCGGATTCTTTGCAAGTTTGCTGATGGGACTCCTTGGAGACATGTCGAAGACCAGCTCCAGTGGCAGCTCGCAACCCTCGCGAAGATATGAGCGGACAGATGGAACGAGTTATATAAACGAAGATGACAAAAGATCACTAATTACCTTTCGATATATATATACATAAATACTTTGTGTGCTTTATATTTTTGTAAATAAATCGAATTAGAAAACAAATAATTAGATAAATTATTTTTTCCAGATTTTTTTAAGGTAACATAATCGTGTAAGTAAAAACTTATCTGTTTGTATTTTAGCAAGTACATGTAATGCAAATGTTATGTCATAGGTAGTAATGTAGGTACTATTTTGACTGTAGAAGATTTTTACGCATCGACCATCTCTTTAGCTCTTTGTCAAAGCGACGCGACGCGACGCATCATGTTTTTCGCCTGTAACTCAGCACCCCAAGTGTGAGTTGCGCCTCGATTTAACTTTACTATGGCGTTTGAAGAAAATAACTTCGTTTACGTACCACTAGGAGATGGTTACCTACTAATTTCGATGTAAACGCAAACGCGATAGTAAAGTTAAATCAAGGTTCAATTCACACTTGGGGTACATAATTTCCTTTAGCACAATTCTTCGATCAACATTCTAATCGTCTATATTTTGCCCACTATTAAGGTATTTCCGTAGTATTCCTGGTATAAAGGAATTGCGCGTTGTCCTTTCCTTAATAGGTACCGGGCTAATTACATGCTCCGTCTGATTAAACTTTATGAATATCGCTTAGAGGAATTATTAATAATATGTTTTAACGTGAATTTTCCCTCAACAGCAGGTACAAGGGACCTCAGACGTGCAACAGCAATCTTCTCCCCTATGGACCCTCAAGATGGACATCCTAAGAGCTATACTGCAATTCGGGGCGACCATATTCAGCACAGCATCCGCTGCCACAATTAACACTGTCACTACGTAAACTTAGGCAATTTTACTTATAAAACATTGTCGCCCCTATTAAAAATCGAGGAATAAGCTTAGACTTGTTAAGCCGTGTTTTGTTCAAATTACTCAAATGCCATTATTTTGTCATTAAGGAAAAACAAGGAGTAACTAATCCAAGCGGAGTCTTCGTTTATTAATAAATAAGGGTGGGTTAATAAAGTCTGTGCAGAAAGACCCAGCAATCTGTAAAACGTCAAAGTTTTGTATTGATACGGATTTCTTTGTTGTTTTGATTTCTTTAGGTTTTTTGTATTTAATCATGTCTAAAAGGGGTTAAACCTTACAAATACAGTAGAAAAGCACTACAGCGCCCTCCAATATAAATCCGATTCTCTTTCCACACAGACTCTGTGTTTTCAACGACGTAACAATAAGTAGACTGATATTTTGAATTCAGTGCCATAGAAATAGAGCTTTATTTATACTATGTATAGAAATAAAAGTAAATTAATTATATTGAATATTGTTTTTATTTAGGTCCTGCTAGCGCCGCACCCAAGGGTCGCGCTGATGCAATTTTGTTTTTAAATATATACTCCTACATAGTAAACACAAACCTCATACCTACTGATCTACTGAAATTTAAGAACTATCAGCCAAATAAATCAGTCGTTCAAAAAATTTTACTGACGTATCTGAGTACGTCGGTTAGTTTTGTATCTTAGGCTTGTATTGCTTTACGTAACTTTCGGCATAGACCAGTAGATAATTTTTTCAGTAAAGCATGGATAGTGACAATTAATTTGTATTTACCAGGCTCTGGGTACTGTTTTTGTAGATGGTTTTCAAAACTAATGCCTTGGCTTTAAATAGACTTTATTATAATAGTATTTTGTTAAAAATTTAGCAACCGGCGTGTCCTGTTTGGCCTCAATTCCAATCTAGCCTGGCAGTCTATTATTAAGTACATAAACTCATTAACATAGTGTTGGCGGGTTGCTTATAATACAAATGAAAACAATATAGCTCATATAAAATAAACTTTATTATACCTACGGTATAAAAAATAAAAATAAACATTTATAAACAAACTTCAGATTGGAATGCATAAGTAGAAAACGGTTAGGCAACACATTCTTTGCTGTATTACACATTTATCACAGCCTGTAGGTCTTCGCTGTAGGTACTCTAATACTCTGTTCATATTCAGCCCATTATGGCGGCAACTAGCAGAGACATGACACTTAAAATGAGGATACTTGTATGTAAACCATAGAGGTATAAGAAGAGAGTGGGGAAGGCGGCTCTGATAGTCCGTCTAGTAGAAAGAGAAAGAAAATGAGAGACCGCTAGCTATCTCTCTCTCTCTCTCTCTCTCTCTTGTGACGCATGGCATCCAATGGCATCACATCGAAATAGTAAGATGCTTACGGTTGCCAATGCGCATGCGCGATTAGCGAGAGAAAGCTAGCGGTCTCTTATCTTCTTTCTCTTTCTAATAGAGGGGCAATTCCACTTGTAGTAGAGTCTATATCTCCCCTACTCTATTCTTATACATCTATGATGTAAACAGGCACCATTGCCGTTGACGTTCGTCTTTAGTCTGATTCGATGCCATAAACACACGTTGCCCTTGACGTTGTTACAATAGTATTTTGGACGATCGGCTGTAGCTGAATCTAAACGGGGTATTAAATTGTGAGCGTCAGAATGGCCGGTCACTACCCATATTTTACATCGAAATAATTATAGAAAGTTGCTACCTAGTTGCTTCTAGTTGCTACTAATCGTTAAATAGTTGCTACCCCCGATTAAAACAAAATAAACTACTTTTTAAGGTGACCAGCCATTCTGACGTCAGAATGGCTGGTCACCTATCCAGTGAGAACAAACTGCGTAACTAAATAGAGATTTTTTTAAAGCAATAGTTGCTACTAGGTTGCTACCTTAATATATATCGTTTTAGACCTCCCAGCTTTTAAGGATAAAGAGTTATAAGCAATTGAGCGTTCAGACATTATTTTAAAACTGTACGCCTGTAGAATTATACGAGCAAATTCGAAATCAAGTGCATAATGGGTATTGCTTGAACAGGCGCCACTTCCTGCTTATGCGATACCTAAACTTATTTAAAGTGATTAATGCAATAAATAAAACAAATATTGACTAACAATAATAATTTATTAAAATAAAGTTGTTTCTTCTCTTTAAATATATTATACAACACATAACTTTCTTGTTACTTTTTGTAATTCTATTATTCAGATCGTTGTAACACTGCCATATATTCCCACGTTTGCAATGTGCCTTGTAATGGCCCATTTCACTAAATCCAGGTGGAACAAATTCAATAATTGAAATGAATTCATAGAGATTATTGTTTAAAACTAACTTTACTTTTGCGATTTGTTTGGTACTAAGATTTGTTTATGTCATTCAGCGACATGCGCTCCTACTAATAAGAAGAAGGAATAATTAGCGGTTCTCCCTGGATCTTGAAGACTTCTTACCGGCCATCCATTACCAGCGCACACCGACTTTCTTCGACAACGAATCTTGAAAGGTTTTATTTCGCCAGCTACAGTCCACTTCCATCGTCAAGACACCTCCATTCGACCCTCCACCCGACCCGCACTTATTAAGTGCGGGTCGGTAACTTCTCGCTACTACGACAGCCCGGCGTGCCGCACAATTGGTATTCATTATCATCATCATCATCAGCCTATTAATGTCCCCACTGCTGGGGCACAGGCCTTCCCTATGGATGTAATAGGGAGATTGGGCCATGACCCATCACACGGGCCCAGTGCGGATTGGCGGGTGCTAACGACTGCAGATGCAGCCGAGACCAATAGCTTAACGTGCCTTTCGAAGCACGGAGGAACTCGAGATAGAAGATTTTCGGTCACCCATCCAATGATCAACCATTGCGAATGTTGCTTAACTTCAACAATCGCAGCCAAATGCGCTAGCGCCATCGAGCTCTTGGTAATTGGTATTAATTTACTATAATAAAACAATACAGACATTGAATGCGATAATTGTACCAGAAATAACAGTAGACTGTTCTGCATAATAAAGTCAAAATTTACCTACCCTCATCAGAAATATTTTTTACAAACAAACAAAAATAACTCAATACAAAAATTAACAATTATTTTGTCTTGTTTCGCACGGTAAAATAATATTATTCATTATGTTATTACAACTAAAAACATAAATTACATAATGTATAGTAGACAACTTTTAAAATAAATTCTATTACGCAGCGCCTGCTTATACAGTACCCATTAGGCACTTGATTTCGAATTTGCTGGTATAATTCTACAGGCGTTCAGTTTTAATAATGTCTGAACGCTCAATTAATTATAACTCTTTGTCCTTAAAAGCTAGGAGGTCCTAAACGATATATATTAAGGTAGCAACCTAGTAGCAACTATTGCTTTAAAAAAATCTCTATTTAGTTACGCAGTTTGTTCTCACTGGATAGGTGACCAGCCATTCTGACGTCAGAATGGCTGGTCACCTTAAAAAGTAGTTTATTTTGTTTTAATCGGGGGTAGCAACTATTTAACGATTAGTAGCAACTAGAAGCAACTAGGTAGCAACTTCCTATAATTATTTCGATGTAAAATATAGGTAGTGACCGGCCATTCTGACGCTCACATTAAATTTGAATTTCAATATAACCTGCACCCCTAGCACGAACAACGAGCGAAAAAATATTCGTATCGTCATCGAAAATTTTTACGACGACGTAATCACAAACGCAATAGTAAAGTTAAATCGAGGCGCAACTCGTACAGCCTTTGAGGCCCAAGCACGAAATTTGACAGTTCCGATCACCATCGCCAATGTTTCTATGGGAACTAAGCAGCGCCTTCCATGAAAAATTTAAAGATGGCGACACGATTACGAATTGGTCAGTTTCGATCGTGCTTGAGTAATGATCATTATATTCGTCCGTCTAAGTTACATAGTTTAAACACCGTAGAGTGTTGGGCACATAAACATAGTAGGTACCTATACTGGGTAGGACAGGACTAGATTAAGTTCACGCTACATCGATTTTATTATTGATTTTAAGAATATCGTAAAAGTATACGGTACTGATCCGGTGCTGATCCGTTGCCGATCCTTTGTATAAAAAATAAATCTCTCGTCGACTCTCGACACCATCGTCGGCTGCATGTAAACTTCTCCATTTCTATAGAATACGTAAATATTTGGAGTTATTATTTTTCTTCGTAAAGATCCTTTTCTACAATCTCTTTTCACTCGTCGGCTGTATAGTTAGCTCGCTAATCTAAAATCATAAAAATATTTTTAATTGGCAAAGACTTTATCGTTAGTAAAAGGCAGAACAAATATGTATGGTAAGAAAAAAAACAAATTTTTATTCTAGATATTTTTATTTTTTTTAATTCAACTGCTATTAAGCTAATCTTAAGCTAAGCTTAAAAATATAAATTTATACCATATTAAACCAACCGAATTAAAAAAGAAATAAATTAAACAATTTTATTCTGACACCAGTCAGAATATATATGCCGTTTTCTTGATGGAAATGGGAGACTGAACCATGACGCGGGCCCAGCGCGGGTTTTTGAGTGTCCCGCCCCGGGACCAAACGGCTTAACGGACCTTCCGAAGCACGGATGAGCTTGAAATAGTACAATTTTCACAACCCATCCTATAACCGGCAAAAGCTTAACTTCGGGCATCACAGACTGAGCGCGTTTATCACTGCATTATCGTCCTCCTCAGAACTGAGTATCTGATTCCAAAAATAGATGGGTTTGATTGAACTGTTCCTATCATTCCCATAGGTTTGCTATATTAAATATATCATGATCGTATTGACGTTGTAACAACATGATTTGTAAATGTTGTTACATTATTCTTTTAATATTTTAGAGTTTTTTTCGCTCGATTTTCTCCGCAGCTAAAAGAATGTGTCCAATTCCGTAGGTAGTGGTAAGGAAAAAATATATGGACTATAAAAACGATTTGTACTATACATCCAATTTGAATAAATATATTTTGACTTTGAATACCTCCAGGCGTTTCAGAGAAAAGAAGACTTAATTTTTTTGCGGACAGACGACTGTATCTAAGCGAAGTTGTCCTATACGGCCTTTATTTCATTTGGGGTAAGGAATTCTACAAAAAAGAAATAATCTCTTACATTAACTGTGGGTGGTGCGGAGATCGCGTACAGCACTGCATCAGCGACGTCTGCCGGCTTCAGCATGGGCATGTTCTGGACACCGCCGGCCATGGCTGTGTCCACCAACCCAGGGGATATACTCTGTGAATACAAATAACAATTCATATAAGAAAACAAAATCTGGTGCCACTTTTATCGCTTTCGTTTGATATAGTGACGATCAAAAGGTCATTGGTGACTCAGATTAAGTACTTATTATAACTAAAGTCTAAAGACCAGGCAGCAAACGGACGGGTCCCGTCTGCTGCCTGGTCCGTGTGGATTTTTTTCTAGTAATATTTTCTTTAGATTTAAACATCGAGCAGTTACATGCTTGAAAAATAAAAATTATAACTATGTATAACTAAAGTCATTATTCTGATATTGGTGAGTTGTGTATATCATTTACTTGGGAACAGTTCGATCGATTTGGTTATTTGTAGGTAATTCTTAGCTTTAAGTTGATTTTTTTAGAAAATTTTTCAGTAGTCTCTCCGTTTCGTTCTCTGAATAAAGCATGATAAAGTTATACTAAAAAGTTAAGACCATACTAGAAGTGCTTAATATGTTCGGTGGATCAAGTTTTAAAAGGGAATCATGCCAAAATTAGGGCTAATTCGTATTATTTTTTATTCAAGTCTCGCAGTATTTTACAATTTCTTTATTATACTATTTTACCTGTCCAATCTAGCCACAGTCTAGCATTAAATAAGGGTATAAAATGTTAATATATGAGTAAGTACGTAAACAAATAACACTCATCAACAGCCGACCCTAATCCACTGCTGGACATAGGGCTCTCCAATTGCACGCCACTCAGTTCGATCTTGGGCCACTCGCATCCAGCTCCTGCCAGCCACCTTTCGCAAATCGTCACTCCATCGCGCCTGAGGACGTCCTACACTACGTTTGCCTAGACGCGGTCTACACTCCAGAACTCGTCTACCGCAACGGTTATCGGTTCTTCGGCAAATAAGGTCAGCCCACTGCCACTTCAACTTGCTAATCCGGTGGGCTATGTCGATAACTCTGGTTCTCTGTCGGATTACCTCATTTCTGATGCGATTCTTCAGAGAAACACCGAAAATAACAAATAAGACTCACGGTAATCCTAATACCGCTCTTCAGATTTGCGAGCTCAGTGAGTAGTGACTGCGTGAATGCTGTGATGGTGTACTTGCTACTCGAGTATACGTTGAAATTAGCGAACGGTATGTAATGGCCGGCGATACTGGAACATAAAAACACATTGTAACTAACTTTACACCAAATCAAATCACAAAGGTATGCAACGAAAAACGTCGATGGGAGTTATAAAAAAATTGCGTGCTCACAGGAGTATACGCTAACCAACGTACATAAACACTTTATTAAACACAGTCGTAGGGTATATAGGGAGTGTTGTTGTGTGGCCGAATAAGGAACCCATACCGTCACTGCTGGCGATGATGGCACACCCTAAAGTTTAAGTGGGCAGGCCCGCGTCAGAGTCCCATATAAATCCGTCGCCTTAAGGTAATCACCAACTATTCCGTACCAAAACCATGAACGTGCTAGGACCGTACCATATATCGTAAGACGTGCATGGCCGGTGACATAACGGTCTAGAGCTAGACTCTAGTGGGCATTGGTTCATATAAATTGTATGAAAGAATATTTTATTGCATGTGTCGGTACGGTTACGATCATATCATGGTACGGGTTAGTGGGTAAATAACCTTTACCGACTTTACCCTTTACCCAACGGTATGTATCAAATTTAAAGGTAAAAAAGGTATATATATATATATGCAGAAATTATTTAATCATTGTAAGCAGCAGAAGAGTTTTATTGTATCTAGTTCGACCTATCGCTCTAGTAGGTAGGTACAGTACGTATATTGATAGGTAGATATCTATTATTGTAATACTTATTTCTACGAAATATAAATTAAATTCTTAAATCATAAACCTAACGTATGAAATCATCATCTACGATCAGAGCAAAGGTATCGCTGAATTTTTGCCTTTTTTTTTGCTACGCACTAATTCATGCTACCATCTGTCTACTCGATTTTTGTACTGTAGGTACATGAATAAAATTTATCTACCTACCTATTTATATTGACGACGTGCCCGTCAAAGTGGTGTTTCTTCATTGAGGAGATCGCGTGGCGGGTGCACATGATCGTCGCTCGGACGTTTGTGTCCATCACGCTGAGGATCTGTGCGTCACTCAATTGGCCTTCAGCTAAGTCTAAACAAGACGAAGAATTAAATATCTGCAGACTCACGCAATTTTGTCGTATATAATTGCTAACCAAACATAAACTGCCTTATTACAAAACGTTGACTAAAGTTAAACCTGAGTTTTACCTGTCACTTTTGTTTCCTAAAAAGAAGACAGATACAGCGTTAGGTTAAAACCATGACTATCTTTAGTCCGTGTTTTGGAATAAAGCGGAAAAAGTATATTGTTATCGTTGATCGTTGTACTAAGGTAGCAAGGTTTGTAGAAATTTAACGTCATGAGTTCATGAGCTTTTTTTTCTCCATTTAAAGGCTTCTGTCACTTCGTCGCTGAGCGACTATGCCAGCCTATTCATTTTCATTTTTCATTTTTTTTTTTTTTATTTATTTCGGACCATTTTACATCCATATTTTACATGTCATATTAAAATTAAATTAAATTAAATTAAATTAGAACAAAAATAAATAATAATAAATAAAAACAACAATAATAATAATAAATAAAAATAAAAAATAAAAATTAAAAAATAAAAATTATAAAATGTCACACTATATAAAAGAAAGAGGGGATGCACTGACGTGCAAATGCATCCACCTCCTCAATAAAGGGGAATCCCACCGCTCGACCAACACATTCAGGATGCCGTTACCACACCCTCTCAGACGGCTTAATAAGGATGCACTTCTTTTTCGGACAATGGCATAGAAATCGTCTGCATGCGCCTCAGCGAACATGGTAGATGCACTACAAAATCGGGGCAAACCTAACAGAATCCTGAATGCATTATTGTATTGGACGCGCAGTGCGCCGCACGCCCGCTGCGTGAAGTTCAACCACAGGCTGCACGTGTAAAATGATTGACAGTAAGCTTTAAACAGTGTCACCTTCACTGGTACAGTACAGCGTGCAAACCTGCGGGCCAACATGTTACACCGAACTGACAGCGCCCTGCGCTCCCTCTCAACATCAACATTGTCGCATAGGTCATCAGTCACCCAGTGGCCCAGATACTTAAACTGCTTCACCAAGTTCAGTGGTGAACCATAGAGCGTCACTTGAGGTACAGATGAGTAGGTTTTGGCACCAGCCTTGAAAATCATCAGTTCGCTCTTATTAACATTGTATCTGAGCCCATGGGTATCTGCATATTCCTCACAGATACGCAGGAGTTTTCTTAGGGCCGCAATCGATGGAGACAGTAGCACCGTGTCATCGGCATAACTTACATTGTTAATACTAATCCCGTCCACCGAACAACCAACATTGGTACCACTGAGCTCACCGATCAGCCGGTTTATATAAAGGTTGAAAAGGCGGGGCGAGCTCAGCCCTCCCTGCCGCACACCGCACTCCAACAAATACACATCCGACATTGCGCTTCCCCACCTTACAGTATTCTGCTGATTACTGTACCAATACTTAAACAGTGAAGTTACCTCATGTGGCACGCTTGTTTCATTTCGGAGCTTCTGCCATAATTTGTCATAATTTACAAGATCGAAAGCTTTTGATAAATCCAGGTAACAGGCATACACAGGTGTTTTACGAGCAGTGTAATACTGAACAGTCTGCTTAAGACAGAAAATAGCACTCTCTGTAGACAGGTCGGGCCTAAAGCCAAACTGAGCATCATGCAAGTTAACGTGCTTTGCTAGTTGTTGATCAAGCAGACTGTCCAGTACCTTAGCCACTATTGTTGCCAACGAGATAGGCCTGTAATTGGAAACATTCGCGTGATCACCGGACTTATTTTTCACAATAGGCACAACCACTGTGCGCATTAAATTTTCAGGTAAGTAGCTATGACTTATACACAAATTAAAAAGCATAGAAAGTACTCTTGGTAAGTGTACACCTGCATGTCTCAAGTGCTCAATACTCAGGCCATCGTATCCAGGCGATTTACCTCTCTCCATTTTTGCAATGACATTAACAACATCTTTACTTGAGAATCTAACCGTTAAATCCCCTGAAAAAACCTCGTCGTCGAGCATCTGAGACACGCCCCCGAGCGGTGAGACCACCCTAAAGGACTGTTGGAAAACGCAAGCAATATGGCGGGGCTCACATGAACCACCCACATTCACAGGGAGACTCGACCTCGGGTTTAACTTATTTGTGTTTTTCCAAAAACTGGTGAAATCTTTATTAGCGTGATTTTCCGCAATTATATCCATTTTAATTTGTGTAGCATTATTTTGACAATATTTTAACTTATTTTTAAACATTTTTCTAGAATCAGTCATATTTTGAAATATATTACCAGAAACAGGCCTACCGCAAGCTACCCACTTTTGAAAACAAAGTCGAGCCCGCCTGTGAGCGGCCTTAACATGTTTATTCCACCCAGTGACATATTTATGTTTTTTCTTTCTACGTGACTGGCAGCTATTTTTCGCTGCTTTAGATAATATATTTACAATGTCATTATACAAATTATTTAACAATATAGTATGATCTTTGTTTTTACATATTTTGTCAGCACAACTACTAAGTTCTATAGGAAAGTCAATATTTTTGAGATCAGAATTACACAAACTATGATAATTCGATACCTGATTCGAGTCCCTTATCCCCCATGTCACACCACTTTGAGAAGAATTGTTAGAATTAGATTTTACAATCTTGGGTAGGATAATATTTAAATTACATTCAACTAATAGCGGATAGTGGTCAGACCAGTAGGTATCGTATAATACTGACACATTTAATATTAAGGGACGTGCGGCACTCGTCACTACACAATGATCAAGCCAGCGACGACACCCGTGTGCCTCACTCACAAATGTATAAGTAGTTAAAGGTAATAGTTCCAAGTCCACACAAGACCACAATTGATCGGCACAAAATGCACATAGTTCATTACAAAACAGCTCATCTGGATGTGCGTTGAAATCTCCAAGGATTACTACAGATTCAACACTAGCACTTTCGATAATAGCATTCAACTCACTCAGACACTCGGTGAATTCCGTTAGGTTTTCGTTTTTATCAGTAGGCATGTACACTGACGCCACAATGAAGGACCGATCGCTGAGCACTATTTTGACCGCGACGAGACGATCACTACGACAAGGTATCACCGTCACCGCCGAGAACTTCGCAGATCTCCATAGCAAGGCAACGCCTCCGTAAGGCCTCCCCCGTAGCACTCCAGCACTAGTGTCAACAGCTGACTTGCCCGTAAAGGAAAATGCCGGGTCAATGCTTCCCAGGAACGACACATCCTGAGGTAAAAGCCAGGTTTCTTGCAATGCAATTATGTCTGCCGAAAGACAGATTCTTCTCACACATTCGATTGACCTTGTGACGTTTTTGCAGTTAAAACTTATTAATTTTGTATTACTACTATCCATTAATTTTATTTATAGGTTCAATGTCACGATATGATCTCGTAGTGTTTCTACTAAAATCCACAAAACGGCGATATAAAACGCCATTGGGCCAAAAATCATCTTTGAGAAACATTTCAAGGTCACGTCCCGGAACAAATACTTTGAAAGCATTGTAATTTCTTGATAATTTCATGTTCACCTTTTCCACTTGAGTTTCTAAATTACATTGATTTTTAATGTAATTTTTAATGTCACACTCTGTAGTTTCTTTTGATACATTATACAAATAAATGGGTATATTATTCTCGGCTGCTTTGAAATTAAAATTATTATCAACAATAGCTTTTCCAGACTTTCCTACAAAACGATTTCGTAGTCTCCGTCTTTGCACAAGAATCCAATCTTCGTTTGGAACTTGCGTCTTAAACTGACCCCCCGTAACTACATTCGAAAATAATTTCTTCACACTCTCATCGCTATTCTGTTTGTTTTCATGCGCCCGAATTACAATAGTTCCCGCATCCTCAGTAATATTAGTCATGTCGGCGGCGCACGTCGTCGGGAGTGCGGCGGCGGCGACCGCGACGTGACCCAGCTCACTCGGCATAGCTCGGCCGTCAGCTGACAAGCGGTCGGCTATCGTCGATTCGCTCGCAGTCACAGCCGGTGACCCGTTAGACACAAAATGCACGGCTGTTGGTATTTTCGTTTTACCCTCCTCAGAAAAAGTGATACGAGATTTTATAGGGCTCGCAGTGGAATGTTTATTGATTATTTTGTTTTCAGTACAAAGTGGTGACAAGCCCATCGGCCCGCTTTCACACTCAAAACTAGGCAAACATGTAGCACCTCTCGTCATATTTACATTTCTTGAAAAATTGTTCACAATCGATGCGGTCTTAAGCGATTCGATGTCAGACCGAAGTTCTTTTAACTGATCCAATGTTGCACACTCTTTAGAAAAACGGTCCAGATCACTCCTCATTCTAACAATATCTTTCAAAATTCGGGTTACATCGACGTGGTCAAATAGCACGGGAGGTAACTTCTGCAGATCTCGCGCCACAAACACCGGAATTTCTTCAGGGTCCGTCTCCTTCAATAAGCAGACAATGTCATCAATATCTCGCTGCGTTTTTCCAAGACGTTTTCTTATCTTTTTGCGCTTCGAGGTCGTTATGGATTCAAATAGCAAGTTTTTGGCATCCAATATTTCACTCTCCGAAAAAGCACTAACACATATTTGGGTGATACCCGGTTCGTCCATCACATCTATTTTATTACAAATGAAAGCTAAAACTTCATTTATCACCAAATTGCAACTTGTACATTTCACGACATTAGAAGCCATTGTTTATAGCAACGACTCACGCACACACGATGCCTATGGTGTTAACAATAACTATACTATTAATTAACTATTACTACTGCTTATACTTAACAATTTTATAATTAAGTTCTAAAGCTTAATGGCTACTGTTGAAGTCGATTGAGACGAAATAATATTACAATCCCATCCCACATTTCTAACGTTCCCTTTGATTTCCAGTTCGGCATTCAACTTTTATCCGCATATACTCCACCAAAGCGTGGTATCCTCAATAAAACCACACGTACTACAATTGATAGAGTCCACAATTTTCGTCATATGACCAAACGCATTCAGTGGAATGTGTCCAGCGCACAGTGTGGTATTTGGCCTCAAAACCTGGCCAAAAATGGAAATTTAAATTTTCTGTTAACTATTGAGTATTGTACACCATCAAAAAGCTAATGAGTTACTGCATCCAATAGCGAAACAGGTAAAGCTCTAGCTTAACTCTGCGTTTCGTGGCGATCAGTCGGAAGTTACAGCTCGCTTACGCCTGACGTGTGATTTTTCGATACGCTCTTATTTCATTGTTCTCAAAGCTCTTATTTTAGTTCAGTGAAGTGGTTTAGTGGTGGTTTTTATCATGGATGATTTTGTTCCTGGTATGTACTTTCTGTTAAATATATATTTTTTGACAAATAACTTGTAGATTTTTGTTTTTTTAGTCGACAACATAGGTATAATTGACTGTTGTATAAATGATTATTTTAATACTTTAAAAGGGGTTTTGTTATATTTCTGTACATTTCTGGGCATTGAAATTTATTGTATAATGTCGGGTACTTACTTGGAAGACTACTTATAAAAAAAATAGCCGCACGAAACCGCCCCTTTTTTGTTAAATATTTTTTTTTGTAAAGACCTAAATATTTGGTACAAACATCTTCTTAAATGTTATTCGTTTTTATTGTTATCAGGACCTTCTGGCGTGAAGACTATGACTCGAAATGAGTTATATGACATCGTCCAACGTTCAAATGAACACAGTTTTGACGGAAAGTAAATGTTTATGGAGAAAGAATTATTGAAAGGTTATTCTCAAGATGATCCGAGAATAGCTGATATAAAGAACAGAATCTCAATAATTGAACATGATTTTAAACAAAAATGGTTGGCTGCGCACAAAATCAAAACGAGGTTCGTTTCGTTAAGGAGACAACTGACGTCACAAACGAGGAAATAAACTACATAAAGTCACAAATATCAGCACTTTCTAGCACAAATATAAATGACACCTCTATTAAACACAGAATGTTATTTACGATGGTGGATGGCAAGGTATGCAATGCAGCAACGCATACGAAATCAACAATGAGGTGCGACATATGCGATGCCACTGTGTCGGAATTCATGGACTTGTCAAAAGAGAGACCTTGCAAAAAAGAAAACTTCAGCTTTGGGCTGTCTTTGTTACACGCCAGAATTAGATTTTTTGAATCTGTTTTGCACGTAGCATATAGGTTAACCGTGAATAAATGGAATGTCCGCCTTTCTACCGAAGAAAACCAAATAGTGGAAGACAGAAAAAAAGACATCCAAAACAAATTTAAAGAAAAACTAGGACTTTTAGAGGACATGCCAAAAGCAAATTTCGGAAATACCAATGACGGAAATACAAATCGAAGGTTTTTTGAAGAATACAAAATTTCAGCAGAAATAACAGGAATTAATAGAGACCTAATTTATAGACTTAAAGTCATTCTAGATTCTCTATGATCTGGATTAAAAATAAATATTGAAAGATTCAAAAAATACTGCCAGGTAACAGCTGAACTATATGTGTCACTGTATAGATTTTACCCTATGTCCCTTACTTTACACAAAGTACTTCGACATGGAGCGGCGGTCATTAAAGAGTCCATACTACCAATTGGTCAGCTATTATCGAGGAGATTATAGAGGAAGCAGCGGAAGCTCGCAACAAAAACATCCGATCCTATAGATTAATAAACTTCTCGAGAACATTTTCCCGAATTGAGTGTAATATGGACATCTTAAACCGACTTTTATTGACCTCTGATCCATTAATTTAGTTTAAACAAAATTATAGACAATAAATATTATTATTATTAGTTTGCGAAAGCGATGTAACCAATATTAACATTTAACGACGATTGTAGTAATGACTAATAAATGGGACTCTAACAAAATAAATTGTTGTTTTATTATACTTTAGTGTTAAATCACCTAGAAACGACTTATCTAATTATTAGAAACAAAAAAATATTTTTGGCCAAGTTTTGAGCGTAAATACCACACTGTGCAGCGGGGCTATTCTGTAAAATCTTCACGCGCGGGTTCGATGTGAATCCGCGCGAATCTTTATGGGAAATGCACGGATACGCATCGGATCCGCGCGTGAAAATTTTACAGAATAGCACTGCAATCTCATACTGGTAACTATCATTAAGTGTTCATGAGCTTAGTGTATCTTAGTATAAAGTTAAGTCGAAAAATATTTTAAAGACTATAAGAATACTACGCCGACTTATAGTGCTTTTTTTCTATTCTGAAATAACCCTTGCAGGTTGATAGATGTGTAGAGCATAGTGAATTTTCGTCGCTCTTCAAAAGAAATAGCCTTCAACTACCTAACACAAGACTACAACAAAATAACACTTCCTTTTAGTTGTGTTCGGTTTATGTAGGTAAGAAAGGTTTTATGTCACTACGAGATAGACTCAATCTGATAGAGAATGGCTGGAACACTCTATTCAGGCATTATCTTCGCGACTGGACTCCAGTGGACATCAGTTTGGTACTTGAGTGGGGTAATTTATTTAGCATTGTATCGTAAAAAATCACATGACTTTAAAAGTACTTAGCTTTAAACAGAGCTTCAATCGATTTACCAGTAATGTTTCCCTTGATGAACACTCCAGCGTTGTTCACAAGAATGTGAATGCACCCGATCTTGTCCTCAGCCCACTTACTGGACTGCCGCCACATCTTCCAGCTTGGACACGTCGCATAGTCGCACGTGCGTGGTTACAAGTATAAATAAAATACAGTTGCAATCGTTTTACTAGTAATGTTTTCCTTGATGAACACTCCAGCGTTGTTCACAAGAATGTGAATGCACCCAATCTTGTCCTCCGCCCACTTACTTGACTGCCGCCACATCGTCTAGCTTGGACACGTCGCATTGTCGCGTTTGGACGGTTACTAGTATAAATATAGTTGGAATCGTTTTACCAGTAATGTTTCCACTGATGAACACTCCGGCGTTGTTCACAAGAATGTGAATGCAACCGAAACAGTCTTCCGCCCACTGGAAGGCTGCCGCCACATCCTCCAGCTTGGTCACGTCGCATTGTCGCCCGTGGATGGGACCGCTGCCGCGCACTTGAGCTTGTAGTTCCTGACAATTTTGAGTTTCCTTTAGGTTAATTTTAGTTTAGGAATGAATATGGATATTTCGAATCCAAGAGTACCTACTGACCAGCTTGATGGCGCAGGTGGTAAACTTACTTACTTACACGCCATGGAGCACCCCCACTAGAGTCCGCATCACACAAATTTTGTTTGGAATCAAAATCGCTAAAGTCGGTGGGGTGCAGGGAGGTCAGCCCCGCTGTGATTGGACGCGTCAAGGTCAGATCATATACTCAGTGCAGCGAAGTGATGAGGGTAAGATCGATTTTAGAAAATATCAATATTTTCTATCGATAAACAATTTAGAATAGAGGCCTAGCACTTTGGTGCGCAAATGCGTAATCATACCCTCTCCACTTTCTTCCAGCGTTCTAATTACATGACGCGACTAGTAACTACATACTAAATTATATATAAGCAACACAAAAAAAAACACGTCGAGGACAAGAAGTATTAAAGCAACGATATTAACTACCCTAGATACAACAACACGAACAAAATCGTGGCCGAAACGTGTCCAAAAGGTACATTGGACGATCCACGGAGGTCCGTAAGATGATCGCGTGGTCAAAAACAATATAATGCCTTATTTAAACATTGAAAGTCACCTTTAATGCATATCGCATAAGGTCTTAATTAAAATGCATGCGTCAAGTTCGTAAAATTTTACGATTTATTGTTATATGTGAAAGAATATAGACCTTATTTTTTTTGACTTTTCACTCGCAATTCTGAATGCGCTGTTAGCAATATAGCAAGTACAGACCGCGAAGAAAAGAGATGGCTAAGGGCGACGTATAACCGACCATGCATTTGAATATCACAAATATTTTAAATTAAATCAGTTTATAGTAAGTATTACAACAATAAAATTTGCTTTAAAGGCGTTAGTTAAAAAACATTAATTAGATACCCGTCGAAAAAACGACACTACGTACTATTAGTATTTTTCTGCATTTTTTCACGGAACTCTTTGGCATCTTGACTTTTCAACGGTCCGCGTGTGACTGTGTACTAAGAAGTGCTTGAGTGGAGTCCAAGCACTTCTTGATTGGGACACATTTTGAGCGCTCGTGGTGTATCTAGGGTATTTAATATCGTTAATTCTATGTCTTTATCTAGGTCATAAACTATGCGCACTTAATTTCATACAAATCCGTTTAACCGTTTTAGCGTGAAAGAGTAACAAATATGCATACAAATTTTCGCGTTTTTTCTATTTTATTAGGATATGTTTGAAGTCAAATAAAAACTGTTGGTTGTATACTTATGACATCTATTATTGTATACGATGAAATAAATAGTTTTTATTTATTTTTTCCATTTCCATAGTTGACAAACTTATCGATAAACTTACGCGTTGAGACATGAGCTGCGTCTGAGTCACTAGCAATACACGTGCCGGTGTGAGAGCGAGATAGCATATATGATGTAGCCCATGCGAGAAAGGGATAGTGTAAAAAGACATCAACGCGTTCACCAAAAAATAAATACAATTAACAACAATTTAATATAACAGTATTTTTGTAATGCATTTAAACTAACCAGTGAAAAGTAATACCATTTTTTTGAAGACTGGAAGTTGTACTCGACTTTCCACACAATTTAATTGCACAGTACGGCATTTTTTACAGTTTTTTAACACGAAAACGAGAGAAGCAGTTCGACCAACGCTCGGTTACCGAATGAAACGATGTATCGCGACGTCTGTAGGCGTGCCTCACGCATAGGTAAAATACTACTTAAGCTTGGCGTAAGCGCTTGCCCTTGTATGCGGACTCTAGTGGGGGTGCTCCGTGTTACACGCACACAACTTACTTACAAGCGCGTCCTTGAAGATGCGATCGTTGAAGTTAAGCAACTTTCTTAGTGGTCGGTCATTGGATGGGTGACCAAAAATTTACTATTCCAGGCTCCTCCGTGCTTCGGAAGGCACGTGAAGCCTTTGATCCCAGCTGCATCTAGTTATTAGCAGCCATCAATCCGCACTGGGCCCGTATGATCGGTCATAGCTTAATCTCCCTATACCATCCATATGGGACACAGGGACATGAACATTCAAAAAACAATAAAAAAATCCCTTGCTGAGTTTCTTGCCGGTTTTTCTCAGTACATGCAAGGTCTTCCACGCCGTAAATTTGCGAACCGATTGCGTAGCTTTTCGACATTCACAGGTGCTTGTAACAGCCAAGAACTCCTCCCCCCCCCCCCCCCCCCAATCGCACGAGTCAAACTGAAAAATCATCTAAAAATTTACAAAGTCAAAAAATTTAAAAAATCTGCCTCTGGCCGCAATGTACCTATTCATCGAAATTGAAAATTCTGGCAACTCTTCCTATCAGCGGTGCGACATCAGAGAGAAAATATAATTCTAGGGGGGTGCAATTCGTAACCCCCTTAAAAATTTCAGGCTGCGACCGCACCTGTATACAATATTAAGAGCTTACTGCTCCAGCTTGTTGGCATTTGCTAATAACATCGCTAGTGAGTGGTCATGGCAATTAAACGAAGTGGTTCTTTGCTTTCTCTGTGGTTGCCACTTAACAAAAATCTACAGCGTCTCTCACACCCGATGCAGTAGATGCAGGGACGTATTTGCCTATGGACCAAAAGGGCCATAGCCCGGGGCAGGCTGCAATGGGCAGAGGAAAGAAAAGCTGTTGAATGAAAATACTTTCTTTTCAGTAAGTAGCGACAAATCTAAAGCATACCATTCACTACACGTACCCGGACCCGACTCTCGACTCGGACCCGACTCTCGACTCGGACCCGACCGAGACTCGGACCCGACCGAGACCAATCCAGCGTTGCCCATACACTGTACGAACCCTCCACTTGAAGTGTGATTTTGGTTAGCCCTACACGCGTTTATAATATCCGCCAGTACTATCAAAGAAAGCAAAAGTAGCTTTAATCATCGGCGGAATAATGATTTTATCAGATAATAGAAAAAAGAAACGTGTTTGGTCAAAGGAGGACATCCCATAGGCATTGTTTCTCCTTAAAAAGAGAAATAAAATCCTCCCAAAACTCTTTATTATCGTCAAGAGACATTATATCTAATCAGAGCCGAGGAAAACAAAACACGTCGTGAGCGCAGTCAACAGTTCGACACTGAGTCGGCCGTGCACACACACGCGCGGATTGGTCGGGCCCGGCGGGGGATGGACGGGCTCTCGCGTGTCGCGACCGCAGACCGGCAATCCCGATACCGACCCATTTGACAGTCTGGCGTACCGGTTCGTCGCTTCCGTACACTGGCGGATTAGTCGCAGCGTAACCGATGGCGGACAAATCCGCCGGACCGGTAAAATACATCTCTGAGTAGATGTTAAGAATATAGATACCTCAACAAGATGCGATCTCCTGGCTAGACCCACGACGCGTACACCAGCGTTGGCGAGTTGAACAGCGATGGCTGCTCCGATGCCGGAACTCGCACCCGTCACCACAGCCGTCTTACCCACCCAACGCTCCATCGCTTTTTTTACAAACAAAATAGGTGAATAAGGATTCGTCATAAATAATTTAGTACCATTGGCATAAATTACCTTGTCGAAAATCAATACACTAGAGTAACTCTAGTGGTAGTTGCTGTACCGATTTCACCATTTTTTAAGAGATGAACGACTATAATTAGGCTTATTACTAATCTCAAAAGTAATATATAAAACAAATGAATATTTTTTATGTTCTTTCTAACTTTAGTAGCTCGCACTCTATCGCCATAACATTCGTGTCCTACACCCTTACCGTTGACTGCTAGAGAATGCCTATGGCATCAAATCGAACGTTCACTATTTTTTTCTGTAATAAAAAATAAATGAGCTAAGGTATGACATTTTGTATGGAAAATCGATATTTCCATGCAGAGGAATCCAGTACTAACCCAGTACCCATAATACGAGTTTTACAATTACGATTATATATACTATGATAGTTTGCTGAAACGTGAGCTCGCACTCGTACTAAGACTACTGATTTTATTGTTTTCGTTTCAATACAAATAAACAGTGTTTAAATTCTATCATTAAATCATTTGCGTCTCCTTAAATTTTTAGTATGTTTGGTTACTTTTCACCAAAATGGACAAAGAAACATAATTTACAATTACGAAAACTGTGATAGTTTTCGTGAGCTCAAACTTGTACTAAAGGTACAGAAAGTAAAACGAGTTAACACTCTAAAATAATTTTATTTTTATTTTTAGGACGTTCTAATGAGCTAAGTAAAGTTTTAATATTAATTAAAACGTCATTAAATTTCGATACCAAAAAAATTCTAATTACAAAAGTAGGTAGGTAATTTACACTGCTCAAGTACTAAGTACATTTGTAATTCATTCGCCTAACGGAAATGCTTTGGAAAACGCTAACGCTTTCGATTTTATTTTGTTATTTCCGACCGCCGAAGGTTTTCAAATACATCCCGCTAATTTTCTTGTTATTACCAATGCAAAAGAAAAAAAAAGAGCGCGAGGTATTTGAAAACCTCAGGTGGCTCGAAATAAGAAAATGAAATCGTAAGCGATAGCGTTTTCCAAAGCAATCCCGTTAGGGAATGATCCCCTGGCTTTGCATGGTTTAAATTAATTTTAATGTGATAAAATAAAACATAATTATCGCGGAAAATAGGTGAAAGCAGTTCAGCAGTTCCAGAGATGACAATACATGCTTCTTATTTAAGTACCACTTTATCAAATATATTATTTAGTACAAATTTACTTTTTTTTATCTAAACATTAAGCTATAAATTGTAGGTAATTTAAATCTGATCCAATAAACTTACCGATTGTTATGAATTCAAAAGTTTATTTTGCGTAAAGCGAATGAATAATAACTTTCACTTATTCACTTTGCTAAAGACACGCAATAGCAATACTTTCTCTCGTGAACACTGGCTGATTACGTTCTCGTATAGTTTGTAACCTTGATCGAATCACAATCGTTGCTGACTACATGTGACAGCCGCTATAGCGAGAACGCAGAGAACCGGTGTTCCGAAATGTACCAACTCGATTTTATTCGATGCCCGCGAAATATAATTTCTGTGTCTGCAACTCAATGCCTAAACATGGCATCCAAATACTGGCGTCTACAGACCAATGACTGCACTTAATGTCTTTTTGCACTCTCTTCCAAATCATCTCTTATCTATTAGACCAGTCCGTCCGTCAGTCCGTTCGTCCGTCCGTCCGTCCGTTCGTCCGTCCGTTCGTCCGTCTGTCTGTGGTGCTGTTTCAGTGGCCAAACCGTAAGAGATAGATAAAGATAATGTTTAAGTTATAAGTTAAGAATAGTCTGATAAGACTACAAACCGGATTTGAGTAACGTAGCACTTCCGGTTTTCGAGAAATCACGAATTTCAAACGAAACCACATAAAATCTCCGAAGTTCTCAATTAATTAAATACATTTTTTTTGGTGAACGTTTGGTTCGCTAGTTTGCTAGTTATGATAAAATCCGACACGATAATCTAATGATTTTATGAATTTGCATTGTACACGTTCTATTCCATCCTTGTGAATGGCATACTGAGGACTCCAGACCACGCTACCAAACTCCAATATTATCCGAACGTAGACGTTATAAAGTATCTTAAGAGCACTGCCCCCGGCGAAAGACCTTCCTAGTCGTAGGATTAGCCCCAACTGCTTAAATTGAAGTGTAACTTGGAATTCAACGTTACTCCTAAATCGCGAATAGAATTCATAATAGATCCTCTTGAGGAGTAAAATGGGCATTTTATTGAAAGTCTCATTTATGTTAGGTATCAAGCTTTTTTTTTAATGAAATGAAATGTTTTTTTTGAAGTTATACTTCTTTAGGCGCGTTATGAAAAAATGATGAGAGTGAAATTTTAAGATGCGCGCGCATCACTGTAACACAAAAAATTAACAGCATGAAGTTGGTCCCTTTAGCGACCAACTTCATGCTGTTACTTTTGTGTTTACCGCACATTAAGAAAATCTACCAAAAAAATAGAATCTCTATTTTGTGGGTGCTAACGACTGCATTGTGAAGGCCTATCAAAAGTATTTATTAATCTGGAACAACGGAACCAAAGCGCGATTCAGGAGACTACAGCGCCATCTCTTGACCATTGGTGTAGTAGAACCAAAAACCACATCTTTATTTTTTGTAATAAAGTAACAGTTATAGGTATTCATATTTATAATATCAAAAGTATTTATTAATCTGGAACAACGGAACCAAAGCGCGATTCAGGAGACTACAGCGCCATCTCTTGACCATTGGTGTAGTAGAACCAAAAACCACATCTTTATTTTTTGAAGTTATACTTCTTTAGGCGCGTTATGAAAAAATGATGAGAGTGAAATTTTAAGATATCGCGCGCATCACTGTAACACAAAAAATTAACAGCATGAAGTTGGTCCCTTTAGCGACCAACTTCATGCTGTTACTTTTGTGTTTACCGCACATTAAGAAAATCTACCAACAAAATAGAATCTCTATTTTGTGGGTGCTAACGACTGCATTGTGAAGGCCTATCAAAAGTATTTATTAATCTGGAACAACGGAACCAAAGCGCGATTCAGGAGACTACAGCGCCATCTCTTGACCATTGGTGTAGTAGAACCAAAAACCACATCTTTATTTTTTGTAATAAAGTAACAGTTATAGGTATTCATATTTATAATATCAAAAGTATTTATTAATCTGGAACAACGGAACCAAAGCGCGATTCAGGAGACTACAGCGCCATTTGTGTTTACCGCACATTAAGAAAATCTATCAACAAAATAGAAATAGAATCTCTATTTAATGGGTGCTAGCGATTGCATTGTGAAGGCCTATCAAAAGTATTTATTAATCTGGAACAACGGAACCAAAGCGCGATTCAGGAGACTACAGCGCCATCTCTTGACCATTGGTGTAGTAGAACCAAAAACCACATCTTTATTTTTTGTAATAAAGTAACAGTTATAGGTATTCATATTTATAATATTTATCCACATGTTTCTAGTTTGTATATTCGGAATACGTGTTTGAGTTTCATACAAGTGCAAATCACATATGTTCTAATAAATTATATTCAGTAGCGATTTTAATTGAATATTTTGATTATTTATTTATTTTTTCAAATTAAAACTGAACTTTATTGACTGTGTCCTTTTCCAGACTTTTTATTAATTTATTGTAATTAATTATTTGCATGCAATTAAAAACTAATTTTAAACGATGCCAAAGAAGGATAACTTCTCACGCGCCTACATAAGTACACGCACCCATTTTTTTAGTTTATTTAATGGGCTTTCAAATGACGCCAATATTGGTGGGAGAACATGCACGTGTTAAGGGGTAAATAACGTTTGAAAGTTGTTTTCGCGGAGGTGCGATTTTTTTGACGCCGAGTGTAGTAAGAATTAATGTTTCTTCTTCGGAACCAGAATTTTTTTTTTCAATACAAATAAAATACGTAAATATAAATAGATAAAAAGACACCTACTAACAGCCCAGCCGATCGAAAACTGAAGAGCCGGTGTACTGCGGTCTTCACAATGCGTGCCGGGTGACCGGTGCAAGAGTAATGTTCAGGGCGTTAGGTAGGGCTTTCTCTAGCACGAACCAAAATCGAATTCGAATAGTTTGCGAGTCCGAAATAACATTGTCAAATGTGTACTGATATTTAGTTCCCGTTGCGTACGGACTCGCAAACTATTCGAATTCGATTCTGGTTCGTGCTAGGGGTACTGCACATTTCATCAAGCCCCAGGGCGGTCCGCAATGAGGGAGGAAAGAATGCAGAGAGGAGTCCCAGATACCCTTCTACTCGCTTCCCTAGTGATTGAAGGACGCGCAAGGCATTTCTCAAGACACAAAAAAAAGGTTCCAAATACATACTCTTCACCAAAAAGCACGAGAAGAATACCTAGATAAGAATTCTCATCGATGAAGACGTTAAGGCACTTTGCAGACGACGGGGCGGGGCGGGCCGGTCAATTTCGCCGCGAATAATAGCACAAAGTGGATCCTATACTTCAAACGCACACAGAGGACAAAAAGACGCAGACGGCATGTCCGCGGCTGCCCGCCGTGGATCATACAAACCAGTTTATATGCAGTAACGCAGACGGCGGCGCGAGGCGGTCAGCTCAGTCCGCGCCACGCGCTTATTAGTGATGGACTATTCACTAGAACGAACGACCTGAACTGACCGCCTCTGCCCGTCGTGTGCTTAATGTACGCGGCGTGGGCAGCCGCAGACATCGACGGGCAGACGCGGTTTTTTGTTTATTGCTTCGCGGACAAAATCGCCCCTACGTCTGCTCAACGCCTAAAAGACAGATCCCTGCCCCTCTAGCATGACCACCGAAACGGGATATGATAAAGTGATATATCGGCATTAACTGTCATACTATAGTGGAGTCGCGACAGTAGTCTATCAGTTAATACCGATAAATCGCTTCATCATAATCCCGTTTCGGTGGTCATGCTGCTGGAGGGACTGAACAATTTAATGCATGTGAGATATGACCGTTCCTTTTACAATAAAACAATATGTATTGTAAATGTTGGTCATAATGAAAACAAAATATATAGTTTTAAAATTGTATAATTCATTAAGATAATGTATGTTAATAGAAAAATCTTCCGACATTCGACACTTAACAAGGCTAGAACATTATAATCGAAATGGTCGACTATACAACACGCGGCATATATCCTATATTACATATACTTATATAGCTACGTTCGTTACTCTGACACTCATAGGAACATTTGCACCTGCCTATACTAACGCTACGCTAAGAGCAATCGCATGAAAATGTCAGGGGGAGTAATATAATGAATTATTCATGATTATTATTTTTCCCGTTCCCGTAATATCAAAATATTCAACTTCGAAAATATAGTATAATGTGTCTAAAAAATGTTAAAAATAGCCATTTTGCTTGGGCATTTTAAACGCTCGCTATTTTGGAACTCTTGGTGTGACGTCACAGTCCATATCACCCTAGCAATAGATTAGGAGGTTAGGTCCACGCGCACTAGGTCTCGCTTATTTGCCATATCCTGTAAACATGGCGCTTGTTTGTAGATTTCTTCTTATATCTTATAACGTCACAACCGCTCTGCCGCGTTTCAGATATTTGAAGTACCCACAAGTTTTTCTCACTTTTCAATAATTCCCCATCTCATTGCAAGATTTGGTAGAAAACGTCAAAAAAGATTCGTGACAAAAAATGTGTTTTACATAAAGATAAGTTAAACAATCAGCATTATTTATGAAAAAAAATTAAGTCCGAAAAATAAATTTTGCAGTACTCAGTAATAAATCTTTTTATTCGTTTTTGTTTATTTATGCCAAATAAATTCGGAACGCACATGATAACGTTAATGTCTGCTTCTATTATGAATGAATGAGTAACGGCTCTAAGGTATTCTTAAGTCATAATAACAACATATTTAAAAATAAAATTAATAGTTATTTATGCAACTGTTGTTAATGACGGGGTATCAAATACCGAGTGTGATAATAGTGATCAAATGAGTGTTTTCATACCAAATTAATTATACACTGTTGCATACAAGACTTCTACACCCATGATATGAATCCTCTGTATGTTTCGGTACTACACCGGGCGCACTATGAACTTCAAAATTAGTGAAAAGATTCGGTGCTGCGGTAGTGAAACGCGTGTGAATGACAACGTTCTTTTTTTGAAATTCATTATACCTACCAAGCATCCAGCAGTGAAAATTGTGGCTGTCTGATGAGTAAGCGCTTAACGCGGAAGGGCGGAAAAAGCTAAGGAGTTTTATTATGAAATTTAGTACAACATTTTAACACTAGTTGGGTGTTATGTTTTTTTTATTTTAACATTGGATGTTTTAATGTTGGCAATAAACTGTTTCATAATCTTTGATAGAGGTTTTAATGCATGGGTTTTAATAAAAGTTTATTATCATTGAATTTAAAAACTCTGTATCTGCAGAATAGACTTATGTCTTAATAACAATGGTTTCCCCATTTTTGTAATGGTTCCTTGATAAAATATAATATAGGAACAAAAATTCCACTTCCGTTCGTATTATAGCCTACTATAATAAAGGAAGCAGGCAGGAATTTTGAGACACACGCACACCCTGACATTTTTATGCAATGAAATACATTTGCAGTGGTCAAACCAACTACATTTCGAAGTCAACAATTTGACAACAATTTTCTTAAGTGAGTGAGTGATTCTAACATGGAACAAAAATTCTGTGTTCTGTAAAAAAAACCCAGTTGAGGAATCAATATAAAAAATATGACGACAATCAATTGACTTACCAAATACATCCATTTTAATAATCGGCAACGTTGACATAAATTCTAATCACCAATATCGAAAAAAAATAAAGACAAGTTAATAAGACAATAAAGACAACTATAAACATTTAGTTTATATACACCCCGGCTAGGGTTACCATCCGTCCAGATTAGTCCGGACATGTCCGGTCTTTTATACTGTAGTCCGGACTTTATACGGATCTTTAAATTGTCCGGATTTTTTAAATTACATTGAATATGAATACTAAAAGTGCATATTGATTTAAATACCATACCATTGTTACTAAGTGAGGAATGGTACCATTGTGTGACTAAAAGTCCGAACTTTTTTCGAAATGTCAGGATTTTTGTCAGGACTTTTGAAATTCCTGAATGGTAACCCTAACCCCGGCAAACTGCTTGAGCAACGACCATAGAAAAGAAAGCCTGTGCAGTAGCAATTTTACATACAAAAAGGTCTACTGTGCAAGTTTAATTATCGTTTTGCTGAAGAAGTTTGCCCTAACCTAAACTACTTATACCGAATATGTTTTGGAGCCACTGCAAATGTTTACAAAACCTATGCTAGCACGGCATACTGTTATGTTCACAAACTGTAAAATAATTAAAACCTATTTACACACATCAATTTAAATCATTTTGCTCCTTTAAAAATACTGTTTGTTTTAACATTAAATTGATAAAAATTAAAATTTGGTCACAAAAGTAATCTCGCGATGTAGTTCTTTTTTTTTCTTTTCGGGTGCCGTACACAACTACCAAACTTTCTACTCGTTGGAACGATAACGCATACTAAAAATAAAACTAGGATAATAATATCAAAATAAACAAAAGCCAACTCATTTCACTCTCATAAATTTATTTAATGCCGGCACTTCACTTTGTTATTCGTATTTGCTATTTGTAAACTTGTCAACAATCTGTCTTTCATCATCATCATCATCAGCCTATTAATGTCCCTACTGCTGGGGCACAGGCCTTCCCTATGGATGATATAGGGAGATTAGACCATGACAAACGCGCGGGCCCAGTGCGGACTGGCAGATGCTAACGACTGCAGATGCAGCCTGGACCATCGGCTTAACGTGCCTTCCGAAGCACGGGGGAACTCGAGATAGAAGATTTTAGGTCCCCCATTCAATGACCGACCTTAAATACAACGATCGCAGCCAAACGCACTAACCACCAGCACCATCGAGCTACTCTGTCTTTATCATGCTTTATAAGGAATGAAAAGGACTCGTGATAAGTTAACAAATAGCAAACACGAATAGCAATGTGAAGTGCCGACATAACACTAGTTTTCCACCCGCGAGTTAGTCTGTGTGGACTACATAATTTCCCCTTAGGGGGTGAATTTTGGGAAATTCTTTCTAAGTAGATGCTTATGTCTTACGCCTACTTGCAACAGCTTTTCTAAATCTCATTATAACAAAAACTAGATTTAGCCCACACTATAATGTCAAAACGTAGATGTCAAGTTGACATTATTGTATTAGCTAAATCTAGTTTTTGTTTAATTGAGATTTAGCAAATTTGCTGCAAGTGGATCTTAGGCACTATCTGCGTGCCAAATTTCCACACATTCCGTTAAGTGGCTTAAGCTGCACAGCAATCGATCATGAAAAAAATCAATGGATATTTTTATCGATCCTTTTATCTTATTTTCACCCTTTTGTGTGGTCATTCAAGCGAATAGAAAGATTGTCACTTGTTTATGCAGTATAGAGTAACAAATAAATAAATTTAATATAAATTCCAGTTAGCACTAACATAAAAAATATAACATAATATATGTTTTTACAATACCAGCATAAAAGACAAAAAATACAGGTTTTCTAAAATGATTATATCCTGAAAAATACCGTTTAACTAGACGGTTAAAACAATGTTGTATAAAATCATTATCAAAATGACTCGTAAAAATATTTTTATCCTCATAACAGCAGGAAGACTATGTATGTTAAATATATTGCTTTGTTTAATCTGTTTCATCAACCCTAAATAACTAAGAAAAATAGAAAGATATAAGTAGTACAAATGAACACGATTAAAATGAGTCCTTTTCTATGTACTCTATTTCAATGTACAAATATATAGATTTAAGCAGATCTTTGAAATGAAATTTTCTTTTGTCGTTCGGGCGACTTATTTATAGTAACTGACAGTTATTTTCTCATATATATTTTAAAGAAAAGCGCAGTTTAAATATGGATATGATATGTGAATATTCCACCTTTGCATCATTTTCGATGATCTTATTAATGATTTCGAAAAAATATTATGGAGATTTTTACTTTTACTTAGATTGTACAGAAACTATACTTAAAGAGTATTAATAAGAAGCAAATCAATCAGAACTTTTTAAATGCGTACACTCTGTTCACCAAATCAAGTTAGTGGAGTGCTTTCTTTACCACACAGTCTCTTACAAAAAACACGGGTAAAAAATTGCATTGCATCACACGAGAAAAGGTCGACATTGCCCGGAGAAACAAAAACTATACAATCCGGCCAATGAGAGGAGTACTTATAATAACTTCTTCCACAAAAATAGATTTATAGTTGCTTTGTTAGTTTTTTTTAGGTAAATATAATTACGTTTTTTAGTTATCTAGGGTCAATGATGATAAAATAATATGTTCAATTTTAAAATAAATTATTTGCGTTATACATGCCTGACTTTTTGTAGAATAATAATAATCTTCAGAACTTACCATTTAAATTTTCCTAATTAAATCAAATATTCTGAAAATGTGTAAATAACATCATCTTATATGGCATACCTAAACATATTATTATACCTTAAGCCATAGAATATTTATTATGTGAAAATTGCACTTACTAATATCACTTAAACGACACTATGTCCTTAACAATTAAACTTTCAAGTGAGAAAAAAAACAATAAAATTCACAAAATATTTCCTTGTGGTGCAAATTGTTTTTCTTTTTCTATAATTCAAATTTCTATGAAACCTTTAGGAGCATCAAACAGTATTCTATACACGATTAATACAATCCCAAAAGCAATAATAGGCACTAATAAAATAAAATATTAATACTTATATTAAAAAAAGTAATTATAATTTTAGAGATCAATAATTTCAGTTTAAATTTAAAGTTTTTTTTCTTTATCTATTAATCAAATACAAGTGAAGTTATTATTTTTTAGTACTTATTAATAAAACAATACTTTAGAATACTTAAGATTGGTTTTTTCGAAATTTCTTATCTCAGCCGAAAGCTCATAAAAAAAACAAAAATTCAAACGAGTAGTGCACATCTTGAATAATGCTTTAAACAGCTTTACAGTAAGATATTTTTTCCTTTATTTATCTGCCCTTCATTAGAAATCGTGTAAATAAGAGACAATTGTTTAAATTAAATATGACTGAATCACAAATTCTTATGCATCACTCTAAGCATTACTACATAAAAGATCTCTCAAACAAACGAAAAATATTTCACAATCTGTTTTCTCATTCCCGCCATCCTTGAGACTATCGACCATGTGTAGTAACAGTGCTATTTATGCCAACACTCACAATATATAAGTAGTAGATATAAAGTCTATTTATTGGTGCTGTAAACAATTAACGGCAAACCACACTTACTCGAACATGCTCTGTACTTTTAACTGCACTCTCAATTTGGGTAAGTATTGCGGCTGATCTTCTTTTATAATTTTTATCTGAAATAGTATTAAATTTTGTATCATAAACAGCCTATTAATGTTACCACTGCTGGGGCACAGGCCTTGCCTATGGATGGAATAGGGAGTTTGGGCCATGACCCACCACGCAGGCCCAGTGCGGATAGGCGGGTGCTAACAACTGCAGATGCAGCCGGGATCAACGGCTTAACTTTTTTGTTCACCCATCCAATGACCGACCACTGCGAAAGTTGCTTAAGTTCAACGATCGCAGCCGAACGCGTTTACCACTTGCGCCATCGAGCTCCTCTTATGTAAATAAAATAATCGTCCTCTTCAAATATGGTGTCAATTTGAATTCCTAATCCTTATGCCGGCACTTTTCTTGGCTATTTGTGTTTGCTATTTGTAAACTTGACATCAGTATGTCCTTTCCATTCTTTATGAAGCATATAAAGGACAAATTGTTTTCAAGTTTACAAATGAGGAGCTGGCGAACAAAACGGTATAATTACGCATATGGTTTTGACCATATAACACTTTATTTTTACAGCCCGGAGGTTTTGGGCCAGCTGAATTTGAATTTGAACTCATGTCAATCAAAACCGCCTTATTAAAATTACTAAATTAAAAATCACGCCAAAAGCTCACTGTCGGTATGTCATTCAGTTTCTTACTGCTCCTGTAAATTTTAATTTGATGTAATTAGACCGTTTTGTTCGCCAGCTTTTCAAATAGCAAACACGAATAGCCAAGTGAAGTGACGGCATTATCTATTTAAAGTTAAATGTATATAGAACCAAGGACCTGGAATTGTTTTAAAGACGTATTTTGTTGGTAAAATCTAATATATTAATTCAATAAATTTAATTTTTTATATATATATATAAAAAAATAAATTTATTGAAATAAGAGACGTAACAAATACGAAGTACTACCTTTTATAATATTTTACATACTTACATCGTGATATTCGGTGTTCGCTAGAGGATCATCTTTAGAAGTCTGTGAAACCAAAAAAAAAAGAAAAAACATTAATTTTTCACGAGACAAGCACTTATTATTACAGCATGAAAACAAAATGATGCAAGAAGTGTGAGTAGTGCCGTCTGCCTAGGCGATTTTTGAGTAGGGTTTTTGAATCAAGAAATTTGAATAGTCCAGACAGAAAGCCTGACATTTCAATAAAAGTCTTGACTTTTAGTCACAGAATGGATACATCAGGTACTTGCTTAGTTACTGTAGTATGGTAGATATGGTAGCAGACGCTCGCATTGCGAAGGGGGTAGGTTGAGGGGTACTCATGTTTTGTATGATCATAAATGAATAAATAATAATAAAATTAGGATAAATTAAAGAGCCGTACAAAGTCCGACAGGCGAGGCCATCACCCGCAGCTGGTGGGCGCGCGACAGTGGTCGGTGTGAGCCCGATAAGGTTGTATGACAGTGTACCTTGGGCGGGCGGCCGCAGCGGGGCGGGCGCGCGGCGGCGGGCGCGGCCATCACCCGCAGCTGGTGGGCGCGCAACAGTGGTCGGTGTGAGCCCGATAAGGTTGTATGACAGTGTACCTTGGGCGGGCGGCCGCGGCGGGGCGGGCGCGCGGCGGCGGGCGCGGCATTCACCCGCAGCTGGTGGGCGCGCAACAGTGGTCGGTGTGAGCCCGATAAGGTTGTATGACAGTGTACCTTGGGCGGGCGGCCGCGGCGTGGCGGGCGCGCGGCGGCGGGCGCGGCCATCACCCGCAGCTGGTGGGCGCGCAACAGTGGTCGGTGTGAGCCCGATAAGGTTGTATGACAGTGTACCTTGGGCGGGCGGCCGCGGCGTGGCGGGCGCGCGGCGGCGGGCGCGGCCATCACCCGCAGCTGGTGGGCGCGCAACAGTGGTCGGTGTGAGCCCGATAAGGTTGTATGACAGTGTACCTTGGGCGGGCGGCCGCGGCGTGGCGGGCGCGCGGCGGCGGGCGCGGCCATCACCCGCAGCTGGTGGGCGCGCAACAGTGGTCGGTGTGAGCCCGATAAGGTTGTATGACAGTGTACCTTGGGCGGGCGGCCGCGGCGTGGCGGGCGCGCGGCGGCGGGCGCGGCCATCACCCGCAGCTGGTGGGCGCGCAACAGTGGTCGGTGTGAGCCCGATAAGGTTGTATGACAGTGTACCTTGGGCGGGCGGCCGCGGCGTGGCGGGCGCGCGGCGGCGGGCGCGGCCATCACCCGCAGCTGGTGGGCGCGCAACAGTGGTCGGTGTGAGCCCGATAAGGTTGTATGACAGTGTACCTTGAGCGGGCGGCCGCGGCGTGGCGGGCGCGCGGCGGCGGGCGCGGCCATCACCCGCAGCTGGTGGGCGCGCAACAGTGGTCGGTGTGAGCCCGATAAGGTTGTATGACAGTGTACCTTGGGCGGGCGGCCGCGGCGTGGCGGGCGCGCGGCGGCGGGCGCGGCCATCACCCGCAGCTGGTGGGCGCGCAACAGTGGTCGGTGTGAGCCCGATAAGGTTGTATGACAGTGTACCTTGGGCGGGCGGCCGCGGCGTGGCGGGCGCGAGGCGGCGGGCGCGGCCATCACCCGCAGCTGGTGGGCGCGCAACAGTGGTCGGTGTGAGCCCGATAAGGTTGTATGACAGTGTACCTTGGGCGGGCGGCCGCGGCGTGGCGGGCGCGCGGCGGCGGGCGCGGCCATCACCCGCAGCTGGTGGACGCGCAACAGTGGTCGGTGTGAGCCCGATAAGGTTGTATGACAGTGTACCTTGGGCGGGCGGCCGCGGCGGGGCGGGCGCGCGGCGGCGGGCGCGGCCATCACCCGCAGCTGGTGGGCGCGCAACAAGTGGTCGGTGTGAGCGCTCGGACTGCTCACTGTCACACCGCACCCGCTGAATACGCACCGCAGCGAACCATCCGCTACTAGGAAACAGATAAAATGCTTTCATTTACTCCTGCTGCCGTAGCATGAGCACCACAATTTACATTATATCACGTTAGGAGAGAGGATGCGCTTCCCAAATGAACAACACTAATACTAAAATTATAATTGGATTATAGAGATTGTTTCATATGTTTATGTTTGGTTGTTATAGTTGGATTTTTATTTAGATTATCACTATCTGATTTAATTACAAATAATAATAATAATTTCACAAAAAAAAATAAAAAAAAATGTGTGTGTCAGCTCCGACGCACGACTGGAGTTTACTCCTTAAGTTCGATAGTCTAACCAGACTCAAAAAGAGTTTATTTAACTTAAAAAAGATTGATACTGTATGAAAGGGTAAATTAACAAATTAATGAAAATAATCTAATATATAAAATTCTCGTGTCGCGGTGTTAAACTCCTCCGAAACGGCTTTCCCGATTCTCATGAAATTTTGTGTGCATATTGGATAGGTCTGAGAATCGGACAACATCTTTTTTTCATCCCCCTAAATGTTAAGGGTAATCCACCCCTAAATTTTTTTTTTCAATTTTCGATATTTTTTTTTTTAGTTTTTTTTTAAGATACATCGTACAAAAATACATACATCCCTAAATTTTCAACTTTCTACCACCAACCCCTATTTTTTTATGGCGGTACTAAGTTCGCTGGGTCAGCTAGTATACATATATAAATACACTTCTGGACACATCTATTGGCCCACCTTGTATTTTCAGTTTCGTTTGGTCCTAGCTAAAATTTTATACTAGGTCGAGCAAAAAGTTTTTATGCAGTTTTGAACCTGGCACATTCACAATTTTATTCAATAGTCTTTTTTTGAATTTCGAACACAGAATTTAAAGAAACAAAAGACAATTGGGAGCCTGTTTATTGCTATCAAACAATCGAATACTAAGAAAACTTGGTTTTATTGGTTTACTTGGATTTAATTCTTGAAAAAGTGATTGATATCTTTGGTTTTGCAACAAACATTACTTATTCTTAACATTAAGGTGAGGTTCTATCAATAATCTATGGATACTTCACCTGAAGTCGCCGCCCAAGCTGTGGCACTTATTCAGGCCGGACACAGCCAAAGAAACGTGAGTGCTCAACTTAATTTAAGTCGATCTGCGGTCCGAAATGTTTATCGGAGGTACCTAGAGACTGGTGGCTTTGTTCGTCGTCAAGGAAGGCCACGATCTCGGGTCACAACTGAAAGGCAGAATCGATTCATCGTGACGACCAGCTTGAGAAATCGTCACCTTACCTCCATTGAGTTACAAAAACAAATTCGCGACTTCCACGGAGTATCTGTGAGCGCTCGAACTGTTCGGAGAAGGTTAAAAGAACGCGATATGGTACCACACAAACCAGCTAATGGGCCCAAACTAACGCGAGCCCACCGAACAACGCGCCTTCATTTCGCACGCAGTCATTTAAATTGGACACAGCAAGATTGGAGCCGTGTACTCTTTTCTGATGAGTCTAAAATTGTGTTACATGGCAATGATGGAAGGAAGAAGGTCTACCGACGTAAGGGAGAGCGTTTCGCACAATGCTGCTTTGAAGAGAGGGTTGCTTATGGCGGTGGCTCATGGACTGTCTGGGGCGGTATATCCGCGAGCGGCAAAACTTAACTTGAGGTTGTTACAGGACCACGGCTGCCAACATTAAATGCTGAAAGGTACGTTCGTGAGTGCTTAGAACCTCACGTGATACCATACGCGGACTATGTGGGCCCAAATTTCCTTTTTATGCATGATAATGCAAGAGCCCATGCGGCCGGCATCGTCAGGGAATATCTTCGGGATGTGAACATCACAGTTATGGACTGGCCAGCCAGAAGCCCAGACATGAACCCCATTGAGCACATGTGGGAAGAGCTAAAAAGACGTGTTAGGGCTCGTCAGCCAGTTGCCCAGACGATACAGGAGTTGAAAACTGCCATAGAAAAGGAATGGGAGATGATCCCTCAAAATTTCATAGAGCGGGTGATAAACTCTATGCCTAATCGTATGAGAGCTGTGGTAGATGCCCATGGAGGCAACACGCGTTATTAAATTAAACCTTTATTTGATAAAACATGTTTTTTATTCAAAAATCAATTGCCTTTAACAAGGCGCATATCCGACTTGTTAGGCGTAGCTCCATATCGTATGGTATTCTGAATTCAAATTTAAAACAATACGATCGAAAAAGATGGTAAAATGTATCAGGTTTAAAACTGCATAAACAGTTTTTGTTCAATCTAGCAATCATATTTCGGTAGGGACCATCGAAACCTAAACTCTCAAGGTGGGCCAATAGATGTGTCCAGAAGTGTATATATTTATTCATATCATATACATTTATTATAACTAATCGACGAAATATTTTACATTAAACTTTTTACAATAGTCAATTTCAGATGTGCATAAATATATTATTTTAAGTTATTGTACATCTTAGTGTTTTTATTTGTTTTATTACCTACCTTAAGTCACGGTGGGCGATAACAGAGTCATGTTGTTAAGTTAAATATTTGTAAGGACAAATCTCAGTTTGTCCTTGGTGGGCGATTATGTATACGCCATTTGTGCATTTAAAATTTTAGTTCATATGTATCAAAATAGATGGCGCTGTAGTTCGTTGCATCACGCTTGTAAATATGTTTGGAGCTACATATAGGCAAAACGTCACCTAACTAATGACACGAAATCTATGGTCTAACAAAATACACTGTAGTTTCAATTTAATGCTTTTGCACCTAAGCTCCCGGATTTAAGAGTCATTTTGGCTCGAACAGGATGCGCACCAAAAACGTAACGAGGTCATTCATCGATAGATTTTACTCCTCACATTTTTTCTCATACCGGGCCCCTTATATATGCAAATCGATTCTTAAGGAGTAAACTCCAAAAATATCAATTGTTTATACATGTATATTAATAATTACTGATTTTATCATTAAAATATTCATTCACACTATAATAACATTTTTTAATTATATATTCCTTTAATTTATTTATAAATGTCAAGTAATTATTTTCATTCATTAAAACCACTTTTTTCAGTTTTGGGTCAGAAGTTCCAGTCAAAAACAATTTATTTGGAAACTTTGTTGAAGTAGATTAGACAAAATATGAGTCAACACGGCTTTTTTTCGGAATATTAGTGGTATTGTTATGATCACATGATGTTGATGGATAGTCCATTTAAAATTTTTCAAAAAAATATTCCGAAAGTCGAAAAAATATGCAAAAGTATGAAAATTTAAAGCCAGCGACGAACAAGTACGACCAGTGACAGACAGGAGTGACGTCATCGCAACCATAGGTTGTCCATAGGGTGTAAATTGTCAATTTAAAACCGCATTTTTTCCGATAAATCACAATGTTTTAATTTTTTAATATATCTGTGGTTTATTCTACATGGAATTCTTTAAAATGAAAACAAAAATAAAAATATTGCATCTTCCCTTGCGTACAAACTCGCACATTTCCAAAATATACAAACACGGTAGTGGAAGTATCTAATACTCTTGAAAGTATGGTCTACAGCTCTCCGTCTGCTCGATGTTGGCTATGATACGGATCAACTTCTTTTGCATGGTAAGCAGCAAATGTGCGTCCGTACTGTTACCCCACAACACCACACCGTAACACAGCCAAGCATGGGCGTAAGCGTAGTATGTAACTGTAGCTGTTTCTCTATCAGTCGTCTTTTTTACCTCGCGAAGCGCATTTGAAAAACTAGACAGTTTAGATTTATTTTTTGTACGTGAGCTTTCCGCCTAGTTAAGGTGCCTATCTATCACTATACCCAACAATGTGAACTCTTCCACAGAATCCAGTCTTATACCGCTGTAGATAAAATTTAAATTTAATTCAGTTTTCTGGTGTGGATGGAAAGTAATTATTTTGGTTTTTGTCAAAAATTTTATCGCGTCTAACTATCAAACTCCATAGTAATTTCACAATTGACCGTGATAAAAATACCGCGGTGCTCCTGCTACGGGGGCTAAGCCACGCTAGCGCGACGTATCTTGCGTCCACAATGAGCGGGAAAAACAATACTACGAGATGGATCGAAAGTTGGCATGTTAGCGCGTTCGGCGGCCGCGTATCGCATGTTCGTGCATCCTACGTTATTCAAATCGTGTTAATTTTTCCACGATACAAAACAAAAATGAGCGTTTATGAGCGAAATAATGTCTCGACCTGCAATATGGTAAAATAAGCATGAAAATTACAAGAATAAACGTTTTCATTTAAATTATGAGCTACCATTTTATTTGCATTATATCCTATGTCAAAAAAATCTTCCTTCTAGACAAAAAAGTATAATATTTATCTCGCGAAAATAATAGTCACGCAGCCGCCTCAATATGGGATACTATTTGAAGAACAAAAGCTACTTTAGGTGTCATTGACATTGACATATCCTGTAAATATGGCGTTTGTTTGTTAATTTATTGTTACTGCCTTCTACGTCACACCCGCTCTGTCGCGTTTGAGATAATGAATATCGCATAGATTTTTCGCACTATTATATAATTAATTTCTTGCTCTCAAATTTAAATAAATAATATTGATGGAGGAAAAATTCAAAAGTTAATATAAAAAAAAGTAGCATACATATTCCCTATTGGCTCAAAGTAGAACAAGTTGCCGCTAGAATGTGGTGCGGGGTGAAACGATACTTCTCAGTTTTCAGACCGCACCAAAGGAGCAAAAAAGGATCCATTCCTATCACTACATAACACTTCCCAATCTTGTACCTCATTTATTATTATGCAATTATTTGTAGAAAAATATGCCGAATTCATTAAAGGTATAAATGGAATTTATTATGACCGTAACTATATAAAAAAGTCTTTTAAACATTTAAATTAACGGCAACATAAAAAAAAAATTATAGTAAATGGACATCTTTAAATAAATTAAAATAAACTACAGAAATCATAAGATAATAACCTGATCAACAAAAGCTTGAATATAACAAAATATTATATTGCAAGCCCATTAAAATACATATAGAATAACTGAAAGGGTTGGCTAAAAGGCTGTGTACCAAGGCGATTAAATTTCACTATCATAAACATAGTTACAATATGACATTATTCGAAATAACCAATGGAATTCCATACATTTCCAAATATGGAAATAAATTTAAACTAATAGTATTAGCAGTTACCTGTCAGTCAATGAAATTTGAATTGTCTACGTAAGGCATTGTCCTAATACAACGCGATAACGCGAATGAGCGATGCGATCATCGTACGAGTCGACGATCAAACATATTGATCTAGAAGAGGTGTCCTAATAGGCGATCGCGCGATGCATTCGCGCGACTAAAATGTTTAAAAATCTATTCGCGCGATCTTAGTTCGCGCGAACTCGCAATCAAACCTATTAATGATGAATCGGTGTCCTAACTGAAGTTCGCGCGATGATCGCGTCGCGTCGATAGGAAGCGGGGAGAGGGGCAGGGCTAACCCGTTCCGTATTCGCGTTCTATTAGGACACCCAGTTCGCGATCACGCGATGGTCGCATCGTTTAAACGCGCGATGATCGCGTTATCGCGTTGTATTAGGACAATGCCTAATAAGGTTTCGTTATATGCAGATTACCTTTTTCAAAATATTCTTATAAATTCAGATTTTGATAAAAGAGTCCATTTAAGTATAATTTTAGACGTTTTCTAAGATTATTTGTAGCAAGGTACAAAATTGGGCGGAAATCCAAGGTCTTCCTTACTTAATAATCTTGAGTAAATGTTAATATTATATTACCTTTATCGTCAGTCTCCGGCGCGTGCTGAGTTTGGTTCACGTCCCTATCATATCCATTGTTACAATATGACAAAGACAAGTCACATGATTTTTGAAATAACCAATCACAAACAAGGGAATGAATTTAAACCAATAGTATTAGCGGTTATCTGTCAATCAATGACAAATTGTCTAGGTTTCTTTATACGCAGATTACTTTATCAAAATATTTTAATTCAGATTTTAACCCATTTCTATTGAATTTATTGAGATTTTGATAAGTGAGTCCAAATTTGTTAGAAATCGAAGGTCTTCCTTATTAAATAACCTTGAATAAATGTTAATATTATATTACCTTTATCTTCAGTCTCCGGCGCGTGCTGCGTTTGGTGCGCGCGCAACATCCGCTCGGTAGTGAAGGTGGCGTCGCATTCGCCACACGGGAACCGCGCGGTCGCCGCACGGGTCTCGCCGTGAACTTCGCGCCTACAACACAACCGTACTTCGATAAAGGGAGGTGCCACCATAGAGGTATAAGAATAGAGGGGGGAAGGCGGCTCTAAAAGTGTCCGTCTAGTAGAAAGAAAACGAAGACGAGAGACCGCTAGCTATCTCTCTCTTGTGACGCATGGCATCCAATGGCATCAAATCAAAATAGTAAGATGCTTACGGTTGCCAATGCGTATTTAGAGAGAGAAAGCTCTCATCTTCTTTCTCTTTGTATAACAGGGATACTTCCACTTGTAGTAGAGTCTGTATCTCCCCTACTCTATTCTTATGCCTCTATGGGTGCCACACGGGCGTTGCATTGTCGCTGCGTCGTCACAACGTTGCGTCTGCGCCTTCAACGCAGATACTTTCCCCACCTGGCCTCCCTCCGCTCCCTGTGCGTTGCATCACCGTCCGTCGTGTCAACGCATTGTGTGACAGATCATTCAGATTTATATGTTGAACGATGGAGCGTCACCGCTCTGTCGACGCTGAGCTTACGCAATGCACAGACAACGCCCGTATAGCATCACCCTAGAATACGTTCAGATGTTCGGCGTTTAACGCGCGTTTTGCCAACTCGGTTTGTTCGAGTCGTTCGTCATCGCGCGTTAGCGTGCGCTTTTGGATCATTGGGTTGTCGTATTGTCGTCGTTCAGTTGAAAGCGCGCTTTCGATGCGTCAGACGGGTTGTAGAGATCGATTGCTTGAATCGAATTAGAGAAAACGGAGAAGGAAATTTTTTATACAGATCTTTTTATTGATGATATATGAAAACGTTCATACGTATAAGGTATAAGTATCAACCTCTGAGTATTCCAACAGAAATTTAAGGAGACATGCATGGGAAAAACTTGATCTCATATTCTACGAACAAATTGCTGTTTTCACGTCCACTTCCTAAAAATGGGCAACTCATACTGAACAGCACACACTCAAAGCGCGTAAAGCGCACGTAATATTATTATGAACAAAACACAAAAAATCAACGCGCGTTTGACGCGCGCCGAACGTCTGTCATCTGAATGTCCCCTTAGAATCACTGAATCGTTTTCACCACAGGTTTTGACACTACTTTTTTAAATACATTGAAAAATACAAACTTTACCTATAACGCAATCTATGTCTATTGTTATTTATGGGATTCGTGGATAGGGTTCTAATGACTATAGATACAACCGAGAATGAGTGATTAATTATTAAGTTATTTTATGATTATGATATACCTTGTTCGAAATAAATTTGAATTAAATTAACAAAAAGTTGGGAGATAATAGAATTTATTTATTGCAGTCTATCAGGAACACTTAATTTAAAACAGGGATTGGAACCAACCTAGTAGGCATTCTAGAATGCCTTTGACAGGAGAAATAATAGTAATATAATTTATAAGAACAATAGTAAATTGTTCTCCATACTATGACCAGCCATTGCGAAGTTACTTAACTTCTACTACATATATAAGGCGGAACACGCTAACCACCTCTGTATTGGCGTTCTTATGGCGATCAATTACTACAGATTAGTTTTAAGGCAACAAATTAGAAATAATATGGAAGTGTTACCTTGTAACAAAGACCGCTTAAACATAGTTCTAAACTCGTTCAGTTGAACTTCAATACTAACGCGACAAGCACGCAGACAAAAAAAGTACTCTGACAAATCAAATATCTGCAAATGAATTCGGCTATCCATTCATTGGGTAAGATAATGTAAAACGGAAATTCCAACCACTCCCATGATCGGCTTGTTGATCGCAGTTTTTCGCCCTGCCCACTTGATCACGATTTGCGTGAAACCACTTTTTAGCGCAGTTCGTATTCCAAACCATTTCTATTAAGGCGAGCTTTTACGTCTCAGATCAACGCTTATAAAGATTTCTAAACACAAAAGAAACAATGAAGTCGGAAGATCTATCTGTTTATTCACATACCTGTGATTGTACATATGATTGCGCTGCGAGAACTGCTCACCGCACACGGTACAATCGTAGGAACTCTCCACGGGCCGCCCGTTCAAGTGGCGCTTGCGATGTTGATTCAAGTTCGTCACCTATAAAAACGAGAATAATCTATATATATATATAAATCAAGTGCTGTTCGTTAGTCTCGCTAAAACTCGAGAACGGCTGAACGGATTTATCTTATGTTGGTTTTAAACTGTTCGTGGAGGTCTAGGGAAGGTTTAAAAGGTGAGAAAAATAATTATATAAAGAAATTCATTGTGTATAATACAAGCCTGAGAACAAAAACTATAGTTTACCTACACTACAGCTCTACACCGAAGCGAAGCGAAGGCGGGCCACAAGTAATATAATAAATAAATAAATACTTCTAACACTCACACCAATGGGGAAGAAACTGCCAAATTTATCCCGCCAGAGGTGTAGGTGTCTCCAACAAATCGACATAGCTGTCAAAATCCCAAGGAATGCCGACTAATTCCGATAGACTTGGGCTGCGTTCCAAACCTACGCTCCAGGTGCAACAAATGTCAAATTTGACATAAGTTCCATACATTTATGTCAAAATTGAAACGTCAGAGAAAAAGTTGCACTCACAGTGTAGGCTTAGAACGCAGCTTTGAAGTGACAGGTTGCTTGTTATGGGCCAGACGGCCAAAGAGCCATCTGTAATGATTTTGCTTTTTCTTCGCCATTAGCCTTGCCCCAAAGTAAGTACTGTGTTATGTAAATGAAAATGAAGGAGGAATGCAAATAAATTAACGAAGAAATATTAAAAAACGGTTTATAAAGCGCTATCAGAGAGCTAGCGCCTATCGTTATTGCTTTGGCTATTGCTATAGCTTATGATTTTATTCTGTTATTTCTGTCCGCCGAAGATTTTGCAATACATCGCGCTCATTTTCTTTAATATTGTTATTACCAATACAAAAAGAGCTCGAGGCATTTAAAAACCTTTGGCGGTTAGAAATAACAAAATGAAATATAAGCTCCATATCCAAATCAAATCCCGATAGGCGGTAGGCCCCTTGGAGAAACTCTATTTTCTATCAGAGGTAATGTCGTATACTGCCATCAGTTTGAGAGTTTTGGCAAAAATATTATTTAAAAAGTTCTAACCAATTTTTTTCCCAACGCGCCCAAAATTAATACAATTTAAAAAAAAAAGAAATTCTTGGAAAATATTTGAGTTAATTTTTATAATACCTGAGCATACGCCTTATTGCATCCAGGCTCTGAACATACGTATGGCCTTTCACCAGTGTGAAGTCTTACATGATTGTTCAAATTTGTCACCTGTAAATAAAATAAAACCAATGATACATTTGTGCTAATCAACCACACTAATAAACTCAGTATCTTTCCACAGTTTCTTTAATATTTGTGATGTAATTTATGGATACTTTATTTGATTGAAATTAATAGGGTGATGATGGATTATATACTTATTATGCTCTATAGAAAACGAAGAGTAAAGACTGCTAATAGAATTAAGTTTTAAGTTTGGAGAAAAATGCCAGATTAAGTCTATTAGTGTGAATTAACATTCCCATAATCATTCTTTAACAATACCCTTGGCTCTTACTATCAGATGAATATTCAGTCCGTAAGTAAAAAAAACTTTAAATACCCTGCTAAAATAAGCCTAGGCTCTTAATGAGAACAGACACAACCACATGCCGTGTTAAAGAAAGTTATGACTCGTATGTTAAGCTAAAATCTGAAAAAAGTACAATGTACAGCTGAATCTGACTGAGTAATACTGTTAAGCTACTGTATGTACCTGAGTAAAAGCTTTCCCACATTCAGTACATTTGAATGGCCTCTCATTAGTGTGGATCCGAAGATGTGCCCTCAAGTTATTTGATTGAGAAAAAGCTGAAAAGGAGAAAGTAAGAATAGAATTCTACACCTTTATAAATAAGAGAAACTTTATTAATAATCTTTTGACAGCTTTACAAGAACTTGGTGGCTATTAAATTCTATATCATTATCTCATTAATAATCCTATTATCGGATAGACCTCATGCCATCCGGTTTAAAGCATAATTTACCATGACGCTCAATAAGTTTATAATAAATAATTATTTCCGAAACACACCAATTAGCCTAGCCTCGAAGTGTGTTATGGGATACTAGGCTAACGGATAAAATACATACGTGTCCGTGATGCTAGCGTAGCCACGATCAATATACGGTTTTCGTTATGCCATTAAATACTGCGTAAATAGTGCCAAATTAGTGTAAAAATAAAAAAAATAGTGCCTCTTTAATTTAAGAAATAAAGACCATTTTTACTGTGTACGCTACCATGACGTCAAGCTAGCGTACCCATGACCGACCCCAAGAACGGCATATATTTAAGCAACGAAATTGACACACAAAAATAGTTCGCAAATAGTGCCCTGGCTTTACAAAATTTCATAATCAATACTCTTAAAGGACCAAAGATATTGAACTAAACATTCTTAGCTGGCGTCAACCTGGCGTATGCATAATAGTTCTCATAGAAAATGAACTTTTCTCGTTATCAATTCTATATGTCAAATAGTGCCTCTAACAGTAAAAGTATTTTATGTGAATCCGCATCACAACAATACATAAAGAGGATGTTAAATTCTAGGAACAAATGTATTGTAGTACAGTTACACACAAAATAAATTTATGCACTAAGAGATTATCTATATATGTATTTTTACTAAAATAAATAGGTACTTTTTATAAAAAGACATTTTATTTCAATTCGAATTCACCAATCATAAATTCATATAAGAATTTCAACCTACCTACTAAGTACCTTACTTACCTACTATACTACGAAAATATTATCACTTCTGTACATGACTGTACTTCATATATAAAAATAATTAAATTGCTTTTTTTATATTGTTTTACTGCGAATTAACATAAAATACTTTTACTGTTAGTGGCACTATTTGACACACTATTTATACATATAGAATTGATAACGAGAAAAGTTCATTTTCTATGAGAACTATTATGGGTACGCTAGGTTGACGCCAGCTAAGAATGTTTAGTTCAATGTCTTTGGTCCTTTAAGAGTATTGATTATGAAATTTTGTAAAGCCAGGGCACTATTTGCGAACAATTTTTGTGTGTCAATTTCGTTGCTTAAATATATGCCGTTCTTGGGGTCGGCCATGGGTACGCTAGCTTGACGTCATGGTAGCGTACACAGTCAAAATGGTCTGTATTTCTTAAATTAAAGAGGCACTATTTTTTTTATTTTTACAATAATTTGGCACTATTTACGCAGTATTTAATGGCATAACGAAAAACCGTATATTGATCGTGGGTACGCTAGCATCACGGACACAATACATACACAACACAACATATATATTTATATAGAAAAACATATTACACATCCATGACTCGAGTACAAATGCTCATATTCATCACACAAACATCTGCCCCCACCTGGTTCGAACCCGGGACCTCTCGAGTGGGCGACCGCCCCAGGACAAAGCACTCGGCCACGGAGGTTGTCGAATGTAATTTTATTTACAAAATCATATAATTAGGATGAGGAGCTCGGTGTCGCGGGTGGTTTACGCGTTCGGCTGCGATCGTTAAAGTTAAGCAACTTTCGCAGTGGTCGTTTATTGGATGAAGTCGGTTGTGCTTCGAAAGGCACGTTAAACAGTTGGTCCCGGCTGCATTTGCAGTCGTTAGGACCCGCCAATCCGCACTGGACCCGCATGGTGGGTCATGGCCCAATATTCCATCCATAGGGAAGGCCTGTGCCCCAGCAATGGGGACTTTTCACTGTAGGCATCAGCAGACTGATGATGATGATGATAATTACAGCTTTCATATATCATCTTTGAAAGCTAATTAGGGCGAGCGTAGTCTCATCACAACCAGCGGCAGCGGCGACACGCTAGCATGAAATTAACAACTGAAATGAAAGCAAGTGATGGTGCAGCTAATACTAGTTTTAACTATTGCCCTGGCCGTACGATCGCTTCATCTCTCTCACACTTAGCTGCCTAGGTTTACTTTACAGTTGATCAGAGCACAACCAGTCCAGTCTCTGTGTCTCTGGGTACAATCAACACTCGCAGCATTGCAATACTGTCTTAAGATGTAGAATCGAAACTAAATGGCGGTTGTGAAATTAGCAACTATGCACAGATTTTAGTTCAGTGGCATCTCATGCGTGCCTAAATTATGCTCATTTTGTTTGCTGCAACACAACTTGCATTAACTTCACTCTACAGTGTTAGTTGTGATGTGACTGCACTATAAAAATAAAATATGTTTTTATGAATTACCTTTATTGCAGTAAGTGCAGATAAATCGCCTCTCAGCCCGATGGTTGCGCAAGTGGTTCTGCAACTGTATTGACTTGTAAAATGTCTTGTGGCATATGCCACAATACAAGGTTTTGTTACCAAGGTTTGTTGTTTCCTACAACCAAGATGTTCATGTATCTATCCTTATTACAAGCCTCCACAATATTATTGTTCCTTTTAGACTTTTATATATTAGAAGATAGGAATTTCAAGTTGGGTGCAATTGTACAATATATTCTATATTTAACCAAATTAAGACCCTGAAGACAAGGCAAGAAGGTGCTTGATGTCCATACTGAAATGGTCATGCAACCAGTGGTGATACAAAAGGTTTAGGGTTGAATGTTCGACCTGCACCAAGTATGACTTTTATATTTTAGAAAATAACTTTAGTTGTGATGTGACAGAGTTTTAATATGAAATTATGATCAAATCCAATCACAATCATTATTCTGCTTCAAAACAATAATATGGTGTATGCGATATTATTATCGTTTTTGAGATTTTTGCCTTGCCTTGCAGTTCTGGATGCTTACTGCATAAAGTTGCCCCTTAGTAAATTAGTTTAAACTTGCTAAGTTAATTTAATTTTAACTTTCTTATAAAAAACTCAGCATTTACTGTGATACCAATTAGTAATATTATAAAATATTACCAGTAGATACCAAGTAGTAATAATTATTATAAAGTTATAAGTAGGATCCTAATATTTTAAAATAATATAATAAAAACTGGCCAAGTGCATGTTGTACCATACGCAGTGTAGGGTTCTGTAGTTGCTTATCATCACCACAATATATTTTGGTAAGAGTCTATATATTAAGCAATTACTTTGTCTAAGTCACTTTTATTGTTTTTTTCGGATATACTGTACTTCCAGTTCCATGGCCCAAGAGTAAAAACTTCAGTTTTGTTGGTTGCAACTTCGCATGTTTTTGTTGAAAAGTTGTTATATAGTGTAAATGTTGAATTTTTTTACTTTTCATTATAAAAAGGTAACACCATTTTGAAAATTTACATTGTTTTTTTTTGTGTATGAGACATAATTTGTTTCTTAGCTTTTCATGCACATCACTCAGTAAATAAATCTAGTTTTTAACGGGTTAATGCACAAACTGAAAAGGCTGCGAAACGTCAATAAATAAATAAAGTTTGTGCATTAACCCATTAAAAACTAGTTTTACTCTATGAGACATAAGTTGAGATTATTATACAGCCATCGAAAATACAAATTAAGCACAAAAATCTTTTAATGGAGTATTAAAAGCTTTTAAATTGTGTATGATAAGTGACTAGTAAATAAATAATAATTCTCTTTTCATTTACCTACTTTGTTTCTTATTTTAAGGTTGTTTATGTAACTTAAATACAGAACTTTAGTGCAGATAGTCTCCAAGAAAAAACCAGGGACAGACAGACAGCCAGACGGACATGACGAAACTTTTAGGGTTCCTTGTCAGGAGTATGGGACCATAAAAATGTACTTTTTAGAATAACTTTGTTTAATACTTTACTTTACTTTGTTTTTGTAACTCTTTCTATTAACTTTTTTAATAATTTAATTATGTTATTAGTACCTCATCAGTATTAGTTAGAGTTACTTCCAATGGGTCTGTTTCCTCTGGGGCAGTGTCTGCTAGCGTCACTTCAGGGACTAGAGGTTGGCATTTGAAACAAGCATACACTCCAGCTTTTCCAGTCTCAAATAGTTGCTGAAATATAGACACACTCAATACAGAATACTAAAAAGCAATTACCAATAACAAAAATATTTTATAAATTAAAAATATATATGACCAAGATTTAACAATACTACCGAGAGAATGTTCAAAGAATATACAATGTAACCAGGGCTATTTTTGTTATATATAGCAAAGTTGGAGAGCTCAGTTTGGTTACAGGATATCCCTAAAATTCAAGTGAAATACTGTAATAAAAATATTGTTCAAATGAACTCTGTAACAAATATATAAATTTACATTACAGGAATTATTACTATCATACCATGCTAATATCCTACCTACCTAAAAGAGAAGTGGTTTATTGCATGTTATCAATATAATATCTATGTATAGTAAGATTGTTCAAGGTTCGCTATTCAGGCTCAAAGTGGTCACAGCGCAGAAAAAAAAACAGTAAACTTATTTTTTATAGGGCGCTCTGCTGAGGCAAACAAAAAAAGTACCGACCGCCAAGCCACAAAAAAACCGCGGGCAGGTTTCCTATGCTTATTTTTATTTGCAGTCGATAAGATTTGTCGTTGCAATACACAATAGTAATTACCGTTTATTTAGTTAACACCAGTTTATAACAGTAACGAGGGAAAAATCAATCACGGGCGTTATTTTAATAACTATCTTGTAAGAAAACAAAAACTGATATTCAAAAGAAAACACAAAAGAAAGCTGAATATTGGAATAAAACTCACAACTGCTGGTTTACGGCAAAGCCTACATTTATCCATCTTAAACAACCTCTATAAAACAGTTCTTTTGTAAACAGCACATTAAAATCAACGAAAATAAATATTTTTCCACTCAAAATCCTACATAAAAAGACAGGCGAGGCAGCACAGGCGCGGGGGGATATGTTGAATGTGGTGAGGAGGGACGGGAGGGAAGTGCATAGTGCACGGACGTAGAACGTTCATGCCATAGAGTCATAAAGTTATCAAAGTGCAACTTACACCTAACGATTCTAACCGAAATCGGATATAGGTCATGAGCAGTCTTTTAGACTCTTGGCACAGTTAGAATTTATAATTAATCTATTTTAATTACATAATGGAGAGCACCAACGTATATCAAATTGATTATATAACCAACGTATATCGTTTTCCTGTTGTTTCATCAAAAAGGAATTGGAACGCTGCCAGTATCTTCGGAACCTTGCCTAAAGGGACTCCTTTTAATAATGTATTTTAGTTATTATATTATCTCTTTTTAAGGTTTTTAGTTTTATATGGTATCGATCCCGGCATAATTCTCTAAACCTAAACTTAAATTTGACAACAGTGTATTCTTGTCATTCTACGTACAGAATGAAAAGGAGAGACTGATCTTAAATTTACTTTTAGGTTTAGAGAATCATGCCAGAATCCACATCAATCTTACTATTTCTTCTTTAGTTAAATGTACATACATGTATATATTGTGAATAAATAATTCAAAAGGATTTTGTCTCGATTGATATATATGCTTTAATAGTGTCGACTTTGGTATGATCTCCTAAACTTAAAAGTAAACACATCACACTGTTATCAAAGGAGACGATTCAAAAGTGGTAGTCGGTACCCGACAGCAATAAAACATATATCTTTAAAAAGCTTATTTTACGTAATAACATGAACAATAATAATATTTTTTTATTATCCCCGATTAATTTTAAACCGTGTTTCAAAATTTAAAGAGTTTTTTTAACAATTACGTAAGGATTCTGGCAACCCTGTCATAAGTCGCGTCATAGTCTGAGCCAGCTTATAATTTCAACTCAACGATGTCGATTCTCTAAAGCTTAACTTAAATTTGACAACAGTGCATCCTTGTCCTTCTCTATACAGATTGAAAGGGTGAGACTGACCTTAAATTTAGTTTTAAGTTTAGAGAATCACGCCAGAATTGACACCAGTAACAAAGTTAAATATCAATCAGCCCAGTCATGCAGGATATTCGTGAAATCGTGGTAAACTTTTTATACCAATTTATGATTGATTCTTCTTGATATTAAAATAGAGTCTGTGCGGAAAGAGAGTGGGCGTGGCAAAAAACGGAACGAACATTAAGATTTTTATTTGGCAATCAAACTCAGCAATCTGTAAAACGTCAAAGTTTTGTATTGATACGGATTTGTTTGTTGTTGTGATTTCCTGCGGTTCTTTGTATTTAATCATGTCGAAAAGGGGTAAAACCTTACAAATACGGTAGAATAGCACTACAGCGCCCTCCAATCTAAATCCCATTCTCTTTCCGCACAGACTCTACCCACAAAATACCTTATAATATGATGAAAATATGAACAGAAAGATTATCCCTGCATTAGTTAACTATTGAATAGAATATATCCAAGGAACTTATATTCTATCTGGAATGCTTACGAAACAATATTAGATTTCAAAAAATGTACTCTAATTAGTGTTACATAAAGTACATTTTTGTTTCCAACTCCATAAGAGGGAAAAATATTCCGAGCAGGACAACGACGAAAGTGGAGTTTGTCCCTTTCTTGCAATTGTCAGTGTTAATAAAAATAATCAAATGGTAGTTTTTACATTATCCCGATCACCATTAATAAGAACTAAAACATACAGTTTGAAAGTTAAATTAGAATTTATGTTTGATTGCAGTTAATTTATTGATATCAATGCAACCAAAAATGAGTTTATTTTTATTTAAACGAATAACATATCTAATAAAATTGTTTAAAATGGTGGTCATTAGTAGTAACTTGCATTTATGCATGAGAACACTTTCGATGCTTCCAATAAACAATATGGCTCATATTCTTCCGGATTGAAGTCCTATTAATGCTAACTACAAATTATTTTGATCAAATTTTTGTGATTTGCTGGTGCAAAATGATATTTTTTTATGCACAATTGTATAAAAGTGAGGCGTATGCTGGGTGTAGAATTTCAATAATAGGTACGTTTTTGACTTCTGTTTACAAATTACGTATGTAGGGTGACAAAACATTTTGGATTCTCTTACGGAAAGTATATGTCATCGTCATCATCAGCGTATTAATGTCCACTCATGGGACACAGTCCTTCCCTATGGATAAGATCAATCAAACGGGCCCAGTGCGGATTGGTGGGTGCTAACGACTGCAGTTGCAGCCGGGACCATCGGCTTAACGTGCCTTCCAAAGCACGGAGGAACTAGACTAAGTATGAATAATTTTGGTCATCATCATCATCAGCCTATTAACGTCACCACTGCTGGGGCACAGGCCTTCCCTATGGATGGAATAGGGAGATTGAGCCATGACCCACCACCAATTTTGGTCACCCATCTAATAACCGACCACTGCGAAAGTTGCTTAAATTCCACGATCCATGCTATAAGCTAGCTTCACACTATAATTAACTTAGACCGATAAACATAATAGACAATTTTAAAGCAGCGCCATCTATGAGATTTCAAAAACATCAAGTCAAATTACATGTGTAAGCACGTTTTGGATATAAATAATTTAAATTTGATCATGTGGGCGAGGTCAATAGTTGTTTTTAAAAGTCATAGAGATACTTATAATGTATCTTTAGAAATAAACCCCCTTTTGGAGTGAAAAAGTATGTGCAAATAACTAACTCCACGCGTACGTTGTCGCAGGCGGTCGCTCAGACCCGTCTTTCCCAGTGAGCACTTTGGGCAAGTGCCCAGGGCCCCGCGATCGATAGGGGGCCCCTCAGATCAAATACAAAGTCCCTAGTTCCTGTTAAATCACCAAACGGAACTCATAGGAGCCCCATTATCCTAATACGCCCAGGGCCCACAATAAGTCAAAGACGGCACTGCGGCCGCTAGTTACATAAATGCTCATCAAAAAAATAACATGTTATATGGTAATGAATGAACTTTTGAACGGATTTTACTATTGCAATTTATTTATACTATACTATTATAAACACTATGGAAAATATATTACTATTTTCGAGGACAAAACGTGAAGACAAATCTACCTAATTCGTTAAGTTGAAAACTTAACATCAATTGATAAAACGATGCATCGTGTTTTTAAAGTTATAATCTGTAATTTAAATAATTAATAAATTAAATATTATTCAGTGGTTATACTTTATTTTTTTCCAAGGTAGGTATCTAAAGTATACATAAGAATTATTGAAAAACGTATCGTTTGACAAATTAAAATTTGAGAACCGTTAATCGTGTTCAATGTTGGATAAAAAACAAATGCAATACATATTGCGCCATATTTAATAAGCTTGGAAGGTCTTTCAAAGATTTTTATATTTTTTTGGACTTTCAAGCTAATGATATAGAATTGAAAATTAGAAGTTTCCTTCACTCAAAGAAAATTAATTGTCTCATCAATGAAGTAACTATTTGGGCACCCTACTAGAACGAGACACACTCCACCAATGCAGCTTTGCTCTTTGGAACGATTTTGAGGGTCGCGTAAGCATTCCAGTTAGTCTATAAAAGTTCCTTGAATATATCTGATGCTTTGGCAACAAAAAAATAGATAAATAAACTTTCCATTTGCAAATTAATAATTATATAATTTTATAGTATAATAATTGTTATAAAAAAACGAGGACAAAATAAAATGTAGTTTTTTGTCAAACGATTGACAGTTATGTGCACTAGATGTCATTAAGTCTGCCGGAGACTAACTACCATCATTCATAGTCCATACAAATTTGAACCGTGTCCTTTAAGTTTGGGTTTAGAGAATTCTGCCAGAGTCTACACCAATGATGCAATAAAAAAAAATGTTCCGATTTCGGCCACGCCACATGATCTTGGTCATATTCATATTGTGCCGACCTAGGGTGCTGGCAGCGGCGCCGGCGGAGATAACCAGACTTAAGCCAGAAACATATTGACGTGTCGTGACGCATTGGTTTCATACATTTAAGAGAGAGAGAGAGATGTTAGAGGGTCGACACGACACGACACGTTAATATGTTTCTGGCTGTACGAAAAGCACCAAATTAAAAAAATCTTATGCGTTCCGTTCCGTACCTACATACAACTTACGTTTTGGTGCAACATAAGTCAAATTTGACGTAAGCACCAAATCTTGAAGTTAAATTTTTCCGCTGTTTTTCACTGGTGTTTTGCGTTGCTTGTGCGTAATCTCGTAATAAATTCTGAAAATAACGACGCTTCAGTTTTTACTTTCGTAAATTTGGTTCATTAATGAAATGCTATTCAATTACCATGTTTCCATAAATTTAACTTTATTTAACTAGTTTTGACTCTGTTGTGGATGGAAATCTATTGTTACGAGTGACGACATTGTGATATTAGTAAAAATGACTGATAAACCAGTAGTAGCGACTGGAAGCAATCAGCCGATTGTAAAAATCGGCCACTATACTCTTGGAGCTACTTTAGGTGTCGGTACTTTTGGGAAAGTCAAGATAGGGGAGCACCAACTGACAAAACACAAAGTGGCTGTAAAGATATTGAACAGACAAAAGATCAAATCACTCGATGTGGTGGGAAAGATCAGACGCGAAATACAGAATTTGAAACTTTTTAGGCATCCCCATATAATCAAACTTTACCAGGTGATTTTTCATTAACTTTTTACTTGACCTTTGCATACAAGTTCTCCAAAAGTACAAATCTTTGATAAGCTGACATATAACTAAATAACTATTACTTTGTTTCATGGCATATTATTTATTGAAACTAGAGTGATACATTGCCATGATCTTCCTCCTTGAACTTTCATTATCTTTATACCATCATAAAATTTCCTTGTTATTTGCTTCCTAAAAGAATATTCAACCTGTGAACCTTTTATTGTTAACCATTTGAACTGCAAACTAATTTAAAAAGAATTTTATGCTTATTTTCAGGTGATTTCTACCCCAACAGACATATTTATGATTATGGAATATGTATCAGGAGGTGAACTCTTTGATTACATTGTGAAACGGGGTAAACTCCAAGAGCATGAAGCTCGGCGTTTCTTTCAGCAAATAATTTCTGGTGTGGACTATTGCCATCGGCATATGATAGTTCACAGAGATCTCAAACCTGAGAACCTGTTACTGGACCATAATATGCATGTGAAGATAGCTGACTTTGGTCTATCGAACATGATGATGGATGGAGAGTTTTTGAGGACTTCCTGTGGATCACCTAACTATGCTGCCCCAGAGGTGTGTATAGATTGATTTAAATCAAGTTTTATTTACAGAAGTAGTAAAATTTCATCATCATCATCATCAGCTTTTAATGTCCCCACTGCTGAAGCACAGGCCTTTGCTATGGATGGAATAGGGAGATTGGGCCATGACCCACCACGCGGGCCCAGTGCGGATTGGCGGGTGCTAATGACTGCAGATGCAGCCAGGACCAACGGCTTAACGTGCCTTCCGAAGCACGGAGGAACTCGAGATAAAAGATTTTTGATCACCCATCCAATGACCGACCACTGCGAAAGTTGCTTAACTTCAACGATCGCAGCCAAACGGGCTAACCACCTGCACCTTCAAGCTACTCAGTAAAATTTATTAAATTAAAAATTCAGCACAATGGAGTAGCAAAAAACATTAAATAAACTTAGGAGGACCTACATTTAATTGACTGACAGTTTTAAGAATAATTAGTTATTAATGAGTGCTATCACACTAATATTATAAAGGCGAAAGTAATGAGTGTGTATGATTATTACTTCTTCACATCTAAATGGCTGGAGTGATTTTAATATAATTTGGTATGGAGTTAGCTGACACACTGGATTAACTATGTGTTAATGCTATGTTTTACTATGGAAAAATATCCCTAATAAACTGCGGGTAACACCACGGGGCACAGCTAGTAGTAAATAAATATCATAATTATGTACCATTGTATTTGTATTATATGTGAAACTATGATTATAGGTTATATCAGGAAAGCTGTATGCTGGTCCAGAAGTAGATGTATGGTCCTGTGGAGTTATCCTTTATGCATTACTCTGTGGAACCCTACCCTTTGATGATGAACATGTTCCTACACTGTTTAGAAAAATCAAATCTGGAATATTCCCAATACCAGAGTACTTAAATAAGAGTGTGGTCAGTCTGTTGTGTACGATGCTTCAAGTGGACCCCATGAAGAGAGCTAGCATTGAAGATGTGAAGAAACATGATTGGTTCCAAAAGGATCTTCCGGGTTACCTGTTCCCATCACCTGTTGAACAGGTATATGTAGGTTCAATTTCCATAGTTTGATTTATTTTGCTTTTTGCTTATTAAATATTTATGGTTGAAAACACCAATTTTGCTCTTGCTTTATTATTTATTTTTCTTTATGAATATAAAACAAACAGTGGAGATTTACACCAAATTAAAGGATATGCATGATCAACAATACATACTACATATGATTATATACTAATAGGATATTTATGCATGTGAGATTTATCAGTCCATCAGATAATAAAGAAGATGTATGGTTTGAAATATGGTATTACGGGTAAGGTAGTTATTTCCGTCCTTAGGTTGATAATAAATAAATAATAATAATAAATATTTCTGACACTAGTTTCATCTTGGTCTACATTTTCATTACTATGTATATCCTTATGCTGGACTGGAAGAGAAAATCAAAAGAATAAAGAGTACGCACTGAGGCAGTTTTGCTGTAACTTAGATGTGCATGTCTTCTGTACTGTAACTTATACCTGTGTAAAGCCAAATGTGATGTTAACTTAAGACACTTGCGACCTAGAACAACTAGTTGTGTTTCTTTGTCAAATATCACACACTGAGAGAATTATCTCGTCACAATTTTTTGGCCTTCAGAGCTGGGATCTTATGCACCTGTGATCCGGAATGTCTTGTATTATAGTATAAAAATATATCTTTATTCAGAGAATGTGAACATTGCATATTTTTAGTGAATAATATTTAAAAAAGTATAAAATAAAGGATGCCTGAACTAGGCCTGTATAAATTGTACCTGTATTTTCCGGTTTCTATGATTTAAATTTTATGATTGATAAATTAACAACTTAATTAAAACAGAACTTAAAGTAATTGTTGTATATGTTAGTAAATGTAAATTATGGAGTTATGTTACTTTATTTACAACTAAAAAGTAATTCTTTGATCTGCACCTATGTCAGCTTTGCAAATAATTAAATACTAAATTTCTACAGTTAAAATAGATCAAAAATACTTAACACTCTATTTAACTTATAGAAAAGGGCCAAAGAAAATAGAGAATCTATCTATATGAAAAGATATATTTGAATCATGTGTAGAGATGCAGATATATCTTACTGTCTTTTGTTAGTGATATCAGAGTCAAAAGGAGAAATGGTGTGTTGTTTTATAAATATGGTGTGCATAATGAAAAGCTGGCGAACAGTGATCACATTACAGAGTTTGTAAAGTTGGTGCGTAGGCTTAAGTTAAAACAAAAAGGGATAATACGGCACTCGCTGCTCAAAAGTGATCCGCTTAAATTGTGGTGCATGACCACAATTCGCTTTGGACATCCAAACACGATGCATGTGCATGTATAACAATATTGCGTATATTCTGTATTATAAATATAACACAATACCTTCGATGCTTTTATAAAGAACACAAATAGTTCAAGAGCAAATTACAAATGCCACGGCCACAGTGTTTTATAGAACCAAAAATATTTACTTATTGACCTTTATCTAAATTCTGTCATAACTTCTTAAAACCGCAATAGTGAAACTTGATTTTTTTATGGGTAATAGAACTTGGCTTATAGAACCTTTCTGTACTAAATCCAGGTTCCACTTTTGCCGATTTTTGGAGAAAAAAATTAAAAATCGAAATTTAAAAAAACTATATTTCTTGGAAACTAGGACACTTATAAATAAAATAAAATTACAAAATTATGCCATCAATAATTCCTTAGCAAGTGGCAAATATCTCATGGACAGATATGGAACCGTCTTTTGAGGAAATTAAATTGTTAATTTTTTCATGCGCAAATTTCAAAAACTTTGCTACTTCATAGCTTTTTTTTTACTTAAAATAGTGATCTGGGAATTGAACTCTTGCCTTTATTAGGGTTTAAATAATTGATTTATGCAAAAACCTTAAGGTGTAAATATTTTTGGTTCTATAAAACACTCGGTGTCAACCCTAGCATAAAAATTTAAAAATTAATATCTTCTAAACGCCACAAAAGTGACACGTGGCTTATTTATGTATGATAGACCACATCCGTAGGTTTATTTCTATCTAAGTTCTAGGTTCCACTTTTTCGTTTTTAGGGAGAAAAAGCAATAAATACGAAATACAAAAAAAAAATGCTGCTCCCAAACCAATGCATTTTTTTAAGCTAAAGAAACGCGTTTATACGCCTCTGATTATGCCCGATTGACACATATTTATTAAAAAAATATATTGTTAATATTCTAGATTTCATAGGTCAAAGGTCACGATAAGTTCATGATTTTTTTTCTCAAAAAGTATTTGAGTTAGACTTCTGTAAATTGAACTCATGCCTTTTTTAGGGTATAAATAATCTATTTATGTAAGAACCTGAACATGTAATTTTTTTTGGTTCCTTAAAACATTGTGGCACGGCAACAATTTTCATTCATAAAATTATAAAAAAAGCGGTCACGGTTTGCCATGAATGTTAGTTAAAGATTCGCCATTTTTATCAAGAAAAGGACAAATACAACTCAGCATTCTGTAGAGAGAGAAAAGAAAACGCAGTCAGCTACAAAGCGACGCGGACTCTAGCCGTTTCGCTCGCGTTGAAGCGTACAATTCTGTCTCGCTCGCTTGATTGAATGTTAATTTTCAGAAATGTGCGTGTGTGATAGTTGCCTATGTAATTGAGTCGGATCATATTTTATTTGATGCTAGTATGAACTTACCGTATCTTACCTTTTTGTTTTAATTTAAGTGCGTAGGATATAGGAAAGGAAGCGAAATGGTTACTTTTAAAATGGCTCTCTGGGCTCGCTCGAGAGGGATTAAAATAGTTTTGAGAGCTCCACCCCATGAAGTTATACAATATTGAATTACTGATTGGCATAAGGCTTGATAGACCTGTTCAATTAGTTTTGAACCTGCAATGTTATGTAATTTTTTAAAGATATACATTAATTTAAGGGTCTACTAGATTTGCTATGTGCTGTCTAAAAGATAATGTGTCGTTAATTAAGATACCTAGACATTTTATACGGGATGTGTTTCAAATTACAGAACAAACGCATATATTGATTGAAGGATGTTGGCATTTGTATGCGTATAAGTTAGGATTTGTAAACCCATGACAAGGCTGTCGCATAGAAAAGTGAATATAATTTGTTTTGTCAATATTTAGTATTAGTAAATTGCAGTGAAGCCAGTTATTTACACTATTAAGACCAAGTTGAGCTACCTTATATAATTCTGATATACTATTGGCGCTAAAAATCAAGGCCTTATCATCGGCGTAAGATATAATTATACCACATTTTAGATTAAGGCTACATAAATCATTGATGAAAACGAGAAAAAGGGTAGGGCCGTTTACATTTCCCTGAGGAATACCATAGCAGGTCATTTTCTGGTAATCACATTTAATATTTCCTGTTTTGACGCATTGAGGTCGATTGTCTAAATTATCTGCAAACGGTTTTAAATGCGTTCCTCTAATACTCAGTGCTTCCAACTTTTTTTAGAGTCTTCGGAATTGATATGGTATCGAAAGCTTTTGCTCAATCAAGAAAAACAGCTAAAATATGCTTTCCTTTACCTAGTTCCTGAGTAATATGGTTAGTTAGGTTATTCACCGCATCTGCTGTTGACAACTTTGCTCGAAAACCAAATTGCGTAGATGACAAATAGTTATTTTTTTCAGGTCAATTAGCCTTTTGTTAATATTTTTTTCTAATAAGTACTTTTGTTATGGGAGGAAGCACCAATCAAGTAAATAACTACATACCAATATCATTGGTCTATAGTTATTTACTTGATCTTTACATCCAGATTTATAGACAGGAGTAACTACTGCTTTTTTTTAACATTGTGGGAAAATACCCTGCTAAAGGCAGATTTGAAAAATGCGTATTAACGGTGGTATTAAAATATGCTTAAAAGTTTTGAGGTTTTTATTGCTAATGTGATCAAAGCCGACTACACTGTCATTTTAAATTTGTAATTATTGGTAAAATTACTTGTTGGTCGGTATCTAACATAACAAAACTATTCCTACGTTAAGTGGCTGTGGAAATATATTTAGAGGTTGGTGGCGTTCTGCAAGGTCTTTTCCCATATTAATAAAATAGTAATTAACAAATTGGCTGATATAAGCGGAGAAGGATGGGTTAATAGTAAACTCAAACATGATTCATGCCTTTTTGAAGTGTAGGTGAAATTTTTAACGTCTCCAAAGACGTTTGCTATCCTTGCCTGCTTTAAGTTGTTAATTTTTTTCATAATTTTCTTTTAATTTTTTCAAAAGAATATTACAGAAATTCCTGTATCTCATGTAAATAACTAGTAATGTGAGGTTATCAAGTTATTTTTTGTCGCCATATGAACTTTATCCCTATGTCTTATACATCGAATATTACCCAGGGTTATCCAAGGCTTGATATTTTGATATAGTTTATTTGAAGCAACTAATTAATTTTTTAAAAGATTTTAAGTTTACGTTGAAATTATTTATGTTTGTAACAGATGGGGATCAATATATTGCGATTACAACTGTATCTTTGTATTTCTTGAATGAATAAAATATATTGGAACCATACACTTTGGTTTACACATATGTTTATAAATTCTATATTTTTTCTCTTCCAGTCCAACAATAAGGATATATAATTGAATAAAATAACTATTATGAAAACACTACTATAAATTTTCAAGCTTCTATGTTCTTAACTACTTACTTTGGTCTTGCATGTTCTATGTATCTATGTGCTGTATTCAATTTGATAAGTTAAAAATGAAATCTGATAATAGGCCATGTATTCACACAGGACAGCAGTGTCATTGACACTGAGGCCATTTCAGAGGTTTGTGAAAAATTCGGAGTAAAGGAACATGAAGTACACAACGCTCTATTGAGCGGTGATCCCCACGACCAACTCGCCATCGCGTACCACCTGATCATAGACAACAAGAGGATCGCAGACGAAGCGGCCAAAGCTGAGATCAAAGACTTCTATGTCGCCAGTGAGTTTCAACTCTGTAAATATTTTGAATCAGCCGTATTAACCTAAATAATTGTATTTTTGGAAAGGACTGGGCCACTGCACTATACCCAAAGAAATAGGAAATAAATTGACACTATCCAGTTACTATTTCTAACTTAATAGTGAAACAATTTTCTTGGTTCTTCCTTTTATTATTTCTTAAGTCTCGAAGACGATGACACACAATCTCTTATAAGATACTAATACAAGACACACAATGATGGGGCGTCATATTATGATTAAATGATAAGTTTGAAGTTTCCCTTACTGCGTTAACGCAGGTAACTCACCTCCCGCAACTAGCGAGAGCTCGCGGCCTCACCCGGAGCGGATCGCGCCGCTGCGGGACAAGGCGTCGCCGGCGGCCGCCCAACCCGCCGAGCCCAATAAGGCGCGAGGCACTCCCGTCAAAAGGTCAGTCACCCGCCCGTTAACGCAGCTAGATCCCCGCCTGCGACTAGTGACAGCTCGCGACCTCACCCGGGGCGGACCGCCAACCCGCCGAGACCAACAACGCGCGAGGCACTCCCAACAAGAGGTCAGTCACCCGCACGATAACGCAGTTAGATCCCCGCCCGCGACTAGTGACAGCTCGCGGCCTCACCCAGAACGGATCCTAACCCGCCGAGACCAACAAGGCGCGAGGCACTCCCGTCAAGAGGTCAGTCACCCGCTCGATAACGCAGCTAGCTCCCCTCCCGCGACTAGTGACAGCTCGCGGCTTCACCCGGAGCGGATCCCAATCGCCGAGACCAACAAGGCGCGAGGCACTCCCGTCAAGAGGTCAGTCACCCGCACATTAACCCCGCCCACCATTAGTGACAGCTCACGGCCTCACCCAGCAGTTTTTATCTCATTTCATAGAGATCCACTTCACACAGCGTGGCTCTATGAAATAACATGAAACAAAGACGCCAAGCGGCCGCTCCGTGCCCCGCTTAAGGCAGCAAAAGCTCTTTGGTATAAATAAAAAATATTTCTTCTATAAAACGGGCGGTTACATCAGTATCATAATTAAGTCACTAGTTTTTTAATACAAGTTCCAAGAAATAATTGTTACTAGCAAGATTGATTGAGATGTGATTCTGATAAACTAAAAAAATCTCACCGCAATTCACAGGACTTCCCAAGTTCGGCGCACATTACCGATTTAGTAAAAACTCTTAAAGATTCTGTGGTATCGTGACTTGTATTGCTTTTATATGAAATGAAGATAAACTTTAGTTTGCAACTGTCTAACGCATGCCTAATTTTCAGAGCCAAATGGCACTTGGGAATCCGTTCGCAGAGCAAACCGAATGATATAATGCTGGAAGTGTTCCGCGCCATGAAAGCGCTCGACTACGAATGGAAGGTCATCAACCCCTATCATGTTAGGTTAGTTATCCATTCTAATTTAAATCCTATTCCATGTTAAAACTGCTGTCAAAAGTGAGAAAGACCCATCACTAAATCGATGTCTATTAAGCAAGTATCACTCACATATTGGCTACCTTGACCTCTCCCAAAAGTGAGGAATGAGATCCAGGGACCAACGGTTCAACGTGCCTTCCGAAGCACGTCTCGATATAGTAAATTTTTGATCACCCATCCAACGACCGACCAATGCGAAAGTTGCTTAATTTCAATTATCGCAACCGAAAGCGCTAATCAGTTGCGCCATCGAGCCATTCAATAGAGACCCATTACTAATTCGGTATACCTATCTAGAAAATATAATTTACATGTTGCCTAACCTGATCCTTATCTCCCTGGACTGTGGAGCTCAATAAAACTTACGCTAACTCTGGATAGTTCTGTTATTTAGCTGCTGTCTTCTGTGAGGTAGTGGTCTTTAGAAAGGACAATAGCTCCTATTCTGGCTAGCATTTTTAATCAATGCGTTGACTGTGGTGTTTTTCCTGATCTAATGAAACACAGTAAAATAACTCCATTACATAAATCGGGTAGCACATCTGACCCAACAAACTTTAGACCTATATTTTTGAAAAGATTATGCTAGATCAAGTGCGATCATATTTTTATAGTAATTACATTCTTCATAGTAAACAATTTGGTTCACAAGAGGTCGCTCAGCAACTGATGCCGGTGTTGAGCTTGCACAGCAAATTTTTGATGCCTGGGAGATCTCGCATGATGCACTAGATGTATTCTGTGACTTAGCAAAACTTTTGATTGCTTTTTTCAAGAAACATTGATCAGGAAACTTCACACTATGGATTTAGAGATACCACTCTGGATCTTATTGTATCATATTTGAGTGATAGGGTTCAGAGGGTTGACATTAATGGAGAAAAATATCCTAGGTCGTCTGTTAAGATGGGAGTTCCGCAGGGCTCAATCCTTGGTCCTTTCTAATTTTTAATTTATATCAATGACTTGCCCTATTTTGTAAAGGATAACCATGAAATAGTATTGTTTGCGGATGACACTTCACTTTTGAATAAAATTAAACGTGGGCAGTCACTAATTGACGAGATGAACAGATCTATTTCTAAGGTAGTCCATTGGTACAATGTTAAAAATTTACTGCTAAATGAAGAGGACACTTAATGCTTGAAATTTGTATTACCTAATGTTAAACAGGTAAAAACCAATGTAAATATAAAGGAATGAAATATGAGCCTTGTAAATGCCACAGTACCACGTGTTCTAAGGAATCGTACTAGTTTGTAAGCTGCAATGGGGCCCACATATTGAAAGATTGTCGAAGAGACTTAGTTCTACAGCATATGCTGTAATGAAAATACTCAGTTAACGGATATAGAACCCGCCGGATTAGTGTACTTTAGTTATTTTCAAAGTGTAATGTCCCAAAGTATTTTACTCTGGGGAAATGCCGCCGACATTCAAACTATATTTGTGTTGCAGAAAAGGGCTATTCGATCAATTTATAATCTTAAAGTAAAGAAATCCTTAAGAGATAAGTTTAAAGAAATAGGCATATTGACGGTTGCTTCACAATACAAACAATATATGACAACTTAGTGTTTGTTAATAAAAATATTAATATTTACTAAAAATAATCTATAGCCTAGCTGGCAATTCATACTAGAAGTAAAAATAATTAAACTTTACCTGCTACTCAAAATTAATAATTGGTTAAGAGATCCTTGTGTTCGCTTTTACAATAAAGTCCCAAACAGTATTGAAATGAAATGAAAAGTCATTTATTCAGTCTAGGCTGTTACAAGCACTTGTGAAGGTCAAGAAGCTACGCTATCGGTTCGCCATCGGTATTCAAGGGTAGCCTTTTTTTTGTTGTTAAATGCCTTACGCATCCTTCAAGCACTGGGAGAGCGCGAAGAAGGTATGTGGGACTCCTCCCTGTCCCCTTCAGCCAGCCCTGGAGCTCGCTGATGTGAACAGGGCCCTACCTACGCCCTGAACAGGGCCACTAAAAACTAGACAATACTCCTGCACCGTCACCCGTCACGCACTATGAGGACCCCTAGTGCGTGCCGAGAGGGCGGGTGTGGTTGCGGAACCCGTCTCCGATAAACCGCGCACCCGCCATGTGAATTCAAGGGTTAAGCCTGACTAAATTTAAATCGACCATTAAAAAAATCACTTGTAAAGCTTATTATAAAGTGTCTGATTATATTACAGACAAAAATGCCTGGGTTCTATATGATACTAGCGGCCCGCCCTCGCTTCGCTTCGGTGTAGAGTCGAAGTGTAAACTACAGTTTTTGTTCGCAGGGTTGTATTATACACAATGACATTCATCTATGATTTTTCTTATACCTGCATACAAAGTCTCAGCCCGATCAGTTTAAAATTGACAAAGTTTCATACAAACTTTCATTCCCTATTTTATCCCTTTGGAGGTAGAATTGATTAAAATCCTTTCTTAGCGGATGACAGCCCGATCCGTCCAGTGGTTTGGGCTGGGCGTTGATAGATCACTGTGTCAGTCAGTCAGTCATCTTTGAGTTTTACATATGTGTATATAGAATATATAGATATCGACGGCGAAGTGCCAAACTGACATTTTTCGAGAAATTCACTTTTTATCGTTTTGAATTTAAAGGCGTTATTCGCGTGCTTTAGTGAAATCTCCTAAGCGTATTTTAAGTTGCAACCGCAGACAAATAAATATTTCCAACATATAATTAAAATGTGGAAATACCTCTTAACTAAATCAACGTGTCTATGGCATGGCAATAACTCTTAAATTTTATGTGTCGCTTATGTTTTATAAGTCGTGTTCGTCGTGTGACGCGTCTATACGTGTTCGTCGGTTGATGAAACAAGATTACTAAATATCGTATTATTAAAGCATTCCAAAGCGCCACCATTCATCCATCATAAGTCAACGACGACGTTGTTCTTCGCTGAACAATAATAATATATATATTTTCAGTGATGTTCGTTTTGTTGATAGAGAGCGTAGTTTATTATTGTCCGTACTCACTACCGATGATAATCAAAGTCTATAGAAAAAAACGATGCTGCTCAGTTGCACCTTAATTTTTCTTTAATTACGAGTATTCTCAGATACTTGAATCTGAACCTAGTAACTTAATAGGCGGAACAAGTTCCTATGATGGTGATTATTCCGGCAATGATGTGACATAATTTACTGTCCTGATCATGATCAAGAGTCAAACAATTCTAGAACAGGGTTACATTTAGATGAACCATCCACGTCATCGGGTATTTACCACGGTAATCAAGCAACAACAATTTTGTTAACAATTACAATAATAAAGAAAATTTGAGATACAGAGATCCTGTAGTTGCTGTTCTGCGAATCATCCAATATAGACCAGATGGCAATATTTACTACTAGTGGCCCGCCCTCGCTTCGCTTCGGTGTAGAGCTGTAGTGTAAACTATAGTTTTTGTTCTCAGACTTATGCTATAAACAATGACTTTATTTATATAATTACACGTGTTTTTGTAAGTCAACCATAAAAGATAGACATATGCTGTTGCGGGATATTTTTTAGACAATTTTATGTAGAATATTTCGTCATACATGATTTCTATGTAACGTTAACCATTAAGGCTGCACACGCGACGGAAGCTTATAAAATGGAGTAACTTCTCCCGTTTTCCCAACATTTCCCTTCACTACTCTGCTGCTATTGATTGTAGCGTGATGAAAAGTATACTATAACCTGCCCAGGAGTATGAAGAATAATTGTACCAAGTTTCGTTAAAATCCGTGGAGTAGTTTTTGTTTCTATAAGAAACATACACACAGACAGACAGACAGACAAAAATTTTACTGATTGCATTTTTGGCATCAGTATCGATCACTAATCACTCCCTGATAGTTATTTTGAAAATATATTTCATGTACAGAATTGACCTCTCTACAGATTTATTATAAGTATAGATAAATAGTACATTACGATACGCGTGACCTAAGTTGCCTATTACTGCACGGAGTGAAGTTAGCGCCCTCGCTCCGCTCGGACTAGAACCTCTCTAATGACTGAAAAAAAATGGCCGACACCTTTTATTTGCCCGGATCTGACTGTCGACTTAGTTTGAAGAAGGGGTGGCGACCTGTAGACCTATGGCTTTATTGCTCATACCCCAAAAATGATTTATGTATCTGATCTATAGGACTTTTAATACAGCCGGCTCTCGCACTATTACAGTGCTAACTTCGAGGCTAGGCTAATTGGTGTGTGTATGTGTGGGATTAATAATATTTATTTATTTATTCACATAATCACTTTATCCACAGGGTACGAACTCTCAACAAGATGACCGAAAAGTACGTGAAGATGTCACTGCAACTCTACCAAGTGGACTACAAGTCTTACCTTCTGGACTTCAAGTCGTTGTCTGGTGAGAAGGAAGAGTCTGACGAAGAGGCTGCTTCACCCTTAGCCCCCCCTCCACCTCCCCCCGCTATCCCATCGCAACCCCAAGGACATCACACGATGGAGTTTTTCGAAATGTGTGCCGCGCTTATCATACAGCTTGCTCGGTAAAAACTCGCCCGGTAAATTGATTGTAATCAATCCCCGGCCCCTCCTATTTACACACTAAGGCTCGTATTACAGAATGACAACTAAGTGTTGATCTTTACTTGAGTACAGTTAGAAAGGGATGTCGCTATGTGCTATATATAGCGACATCCCTTTCTAACTATCCCCAAGACTAGATCAATCACTGAGAATCTTTCTATTATACGGGCCTTAAACTATCTCGCTTATCATGGACGACGGACGGATAACGAACGATAATTATGCTGGTCAAAAGTATGTTACACTAGCTTTTCAAATTACGTACGGAAACCAATTAAATAAGTAACAAAATAATTTGCAAATACAATGTTAAAGGACAATGTTAAAATTGGCCTAAGAACCAACAGCAATTTGGCATTTATGATAATTCTTAGTATATTTTTTGCGATAATTATCAGTATTTAGATTGTGATGGACACTTCCAATTAAGTAAGCTATATTAAAAACTTAAAAAATAATCTGAGACAATAAATACCATTTCGTGTGTAATAATCTATGACAGCGCTGCAAACAAAACACTCTTTCTTGCTAATGCCGGCACTTCACTTGGCTATTCGTATTTGCTATTTGAAAACTTGACGTCAGTCTGTCCTTATCATTCCTTATTAAGCATGACAAGGACAGACTGTTTTCAAGTGAAGGGCCGGCATAAAACTCGATACTTGGTTGTGGTCCAGGCAGTTTGCATTCGTAGTAATCTGTGGCATTCGTGCATTCTCGTTTTGGATTACCTGTTATTTATCGCAGATAAACAGTTTTTTGCGATTGTTTTTCCTTTAATTTATCTATTTCGGCTATCTAATATGCCATCGATGTTACCAAAGAGCAGAGACCTTGTTACCAAGTGCTAGTGAACCTGTGCCACAATATCCTGAGAGGATCATACTGCCAAATTATTCAAGAGCACCTGATACACATTCACGCTGCATATTTACACAATATACATGTTATATACAAATAAATACAATATACAGTATGATACAATTATGTGAAAAATAGTCAAAAAATAAGAAGCAAAACTACAGTTTTTATTTTATTCATGATTCCTACCTAACCAAGTTTTTCTTAATAGTTATTCTTTTAAAAACGCACCGAAAAAAAAATTATTAGTTATAATATTAATTCAATTCATACTGAGTTCATAGGTTGACCTATGTTTCATTTAATATTAAACATGACCTCAAAAAATATTTAGTTTTCCTGATAATTTTAGTTCTCAGAAGTGTCCGTCAATAATCTTTGGTTTTACAGTCATTTACTTGCAATTTCGAACCTAGAAAATAATGTTTTTATTTATTTTTAAGCATTTAACTGCTAGATATATAAATCTAAAGAAAAGTTTACTAGAAAAAAAAAATCCACGTGGACCAGGCAGCGGACGGGACTCGAACTAGAACTCGACTAGAAAATAATCTTCATGATTGTTGGTTCTTAGGCTAACAATGTATGGGCGCAGAACAATGTCCTTTGGGGTGACGGACGGAAAATTTTACTCCCCTCCCTTACATAAAAAACCTCAGTTAGACTTATAATGTCTCAACCAACATAAACGACAGATAATGAACGCTACCCTGATCAAAATTATGTTCAACTTAGCTAAATTGCTATGGAAATTAAATAGGTAGCAAAATAATTCGCAAATACTATGCGAAATATGTACGTAAATAGTGTTCGATTGTATAAAATCGTTCCATAAATATAAAAAAGATGTGATGTCAAATTATAAATTGTAGCTGCTTTGTAATTGCGTTGCGTACAACTTGCGTTGTAATTTTTGCAGCGGTAACGGCAGTAAATCTTAAATATAAATATGCCGTCTTAAAAAATATCACTTACATTTTGCCTACCGCGCCCCCCCAGCATGAGCACCGCGATACCATATATAACGCGTTTTTATCACACTTTATTGACAAATTACTATGGAGTTTGACAGTTAGAAGCGATAAAAACTGTGATATAATAACAGATTAAACTACACTTTCGTTCTAGTTAAAGAAGAGATTGGAAAATAAATTCTAATTCTGTCGCCATATGGAATGACAAGACCTGTTTTGGTGCCTCCACACGCTTGTTGTATGTCACAAACGCCAAACACGTCGAACAAAATTTCAAACGCCGATCACAATTACTTAACACAAACAGGCCTCCTCACCCTTATGTTGGCTGTTTGCCGTCTGTTCGCCAAGCATGTGGAGGCACGCCTTTCGTTGGCTGCCGTTATAGAAATTAGTAGCCGTTATAGTGAGTACCGCGGTATGCATATTAAAATACAACCTTTTATCGACGCTCTACTGTGAAACTCCATTGTAATTTGTCAATTGACAATGTCGATGAATCACTCTATCTTAACGCGTTTTGATGGTTATACTAGGAGGGCTGATTTGTTATTATTGTTGATACTTGAGTTGAGCAAATTATTAGTTTAATAGAACATTCGCTTACAACTTAAAAAAATGCAAGTAACTATACCGACCCAGGACTTAAAAATATTTAAAAAATTAAGCGACACACGATTTATTTTTGTTAAATTAGTAATTTGCTCGGAAATAATTATGTACGTTATTGGTTGTGTTGTGTGTAATTGTATTTATGTAATTCTTAATTACATTGCAATGTGGAATGAAAGCTAATGTTATGTCGAGAAAGTTGTACAATGTGGATTTTCAGTTCCTTATGTGAAATACAAAAAGCGGCGGACGTCGATAATTCCTTCTAGTTAAGCATACAACTAATACGTATGACATACTATTTATATACATTCACTGTACTATGTATGTTCACAGTCGCAGTCGCTTTTCAGGTAATTGACTTCAACTATAAAGTGGTCTTCAGTTCAAGGCCGCAAGGTTAAAAATTTTCTCGCAATAATTTGCTATTGTTTCATTCCACGGCAATATAAATTGAGCCTAAAGTTGTGCTGAATTTTCAACACTGAAAACGTTAGATAAGCAATAGGTATATATTAATCAAAACTCACAGAAAGCGCAATACATAATTGATATTAAAAAAGGTGGTATTTATGCAATATTGTGATACAACTAATAAGCTAAGCCAAAGACAGACGATTGCAAAATTAAGTGCCTTGTTAAATTATGCGTATGTGGGTTAATTCAGTTGTTGATGTTCTTAGTACAAAATGATTTCTAAGCACTTAAAATATAGCACTTTTTAAAATGGCCAAGTAAATTGTCATGTTTTACTGTTCCAGACCTCACTGTTAGTGAGTGGGACTAAAATTATTCTAAATTAATGCTTATAAATGTGATAATCAAATTCAAACAATATTGAATAAAAAGCTTCTAAGCCTAACATGCAAATATGATTTGATAGGAACATGTATCATAAATAAATAATTTATGTTGCTTATTTTAAGTATTATGTTAGCACTTCATATGGCTATTTGTAAATTTGAACGCAGTATATCCTTATCATAATTTATAGGGATTGAAAAGGATATACTGGTGGTGGTCTATACAAATAGCAAATACCAATAGCCATTTGAAATAATAGCATACCTATTATACTTTGCTCTCATAAACGAGTTTATGGAGCGTTTTCTTTATCGAACGATTATTTATAAAAACTTAGCTTTTCTCGTATACAAGCTCGTTTCCTTGAAAATAGAATACACAGGGTTGCAGGGAAAGTCGTACTGAATATTGAAGGACGTTATTATTCAGGTCATTTCTGATGGATTTGTTCCTATAATATGGTGTCCGAAACTTAACCGTTATGAAGATATTGGATATTTAAGATTTTTTTTAAAAAAGTTAAGGACACTTAAATAAGTAAAAATTCTTTAGTTATAACCGTAGTCGAGCAGTTTTTTTAAGCCGTTAGAAGTAGGTTCAGTTTTTATTGCTTGACATGTCTTCTAACTAGATACATTAAAAAATCGGACCTTTGGAGCTCTAATTTCAAAAAAATCGACAATAACCCAAAAAACATAGGATTTTTAAAAAAAACCTTTAATATCCAATATCTCCATAACGGTTAAGTTTCGGACACCATATTATAGGACCAAATCCATCAGAAATGACCTGAATAATAACGTCCTTCAATATTCAGTATGACTTTCCCTGTAACCCTGTATAGGTTAAGATTTTTAAAAATATAAAATGTGGATGGATATTGTAAAGTTATATAGACCATTTCTATAGATAGATCTTTCGCTATGTATTTCGTAGTATCCTTAGTTACTAATAAATAATCCTGTACAGCTATGTTGTGTTTCATGTTAGTACTTCAAATGACTATTCGTATTTGCCATTTTTTTTAATTTTTGAAAGTAGTAATTTCTGAGAAAATCTTTAAAATTTTGTCTAGGCAAATGCAAATAACCATGTGTAGTGCCAGCATTATGTATAGTGCAATTCCAAATTACTTCCATTAATATTGAGTCAATAAAATCTCTATAAAGATTAAAACTTTGTATTTTATTTGTCACCACCTTTCAATTTAGTTTGGCAAAATATTTTGCTTTTGACCAAGTCTTACAGCTTTCAAATTCATCGTTCGACTACTGTTATGTATTTTGTATGAATAGTACGTTAGCTACATTATGTTCAATTTCCGTTACCTATTTTGAACTTTGAAACCAACATCTAAGGTCGAAAATAAGAAAATCTATTAAAGAAATTTCGATAGTTTCGGATAACCTGAAGAGATATGCTTTCCGTACTTAGATGAACCGTGAATGGTATTGTTTAACAGGACCACGATACGCGATTAGTTCCTGTTTTACGGTCGTGAAAGTTGACCAACTTCAACAAGGGCCGCATCAATAGAGCAACACGAAGGGCGGACGCGACCAGAAAGGGGAGTAGGCATACACAGCTTTCCCTAAGTCGAGTTGGGCATACAAACGATACATGTGTACTGAATTTAGCGATGTATTGTGGCAACGCTCTATTGGGATCGGTCTGTCATTACGGACAGGACTATTGTTGCCAAATAGGCCTGATATCGTATTGACAGATCGATATCACCATCCCGCATGACGAGAACCTCGTGAAGGTCGAGAAGGACAAGCTCAGCAAGTACCTGGACTTGGCCCACGAAGTAACCGC